ACTATAATTAAAGGAGGTCGCCTTTTACTTTAATTTCGCTACTAATTTCGTCACCTATTTCTAACTATAAAAGTAAAATGTCTATTAAAACTACTAACTACTAAATAATTATTTAAAGAAATCTAATAATTTATTCTTTTATTATTTGGATACTATTTATAATTAAACAGTTATCGAGATTATCCTACGTTTATTTACTAAAGCCTCGTTTATAATGCGTCATTATAAAATTTATTTCTATACGAAACGCCACTCTAAATAATTAATAGAAATATAGTATCTATAATTTGGCTACCCGGGACCTTAAGTAATTGACTACTTTTAAAATATTAATAGAATTAAACTTACTAATTAAAAATTACGCAATATACCCTTAATTACATACGACACGTACGCGATAATAAAGATTAAATAATAAGTTAACCATATAATTAAAGACTAAGGTTTTAGATTTGGAAAAAAATTCATTATTAATTTCCTCGAATTTAACAAAAGAATTAACGAGGTTAAATACTTTCTCCTCATTACTTATTGATAGTCCGGATACATTTAGGATTATTACTTATTAAAGTATTAAACAATTACTATAACTACTACACTAATATTTTATATCAATATACTACAATACTGATACAATATTAAAATTAAAACTTTCGAATACAATAACGAATTTATAACTAATAAGGTCAAATATAAATTATTATAATAAAGGGCGAATTTTGAACCTTCTACTCTCAATATATAAATATAGAACGGTAAAGTAGAGCGTTTAGGGGGTATTATTAAAGAAAGATATAATATTATATTAATGAATTCGAAATTCCCAATAGATTTATAGCCGGAAATCACTTGCATAGTAATTTACCTTATTAATCGTTCCCTTCGTTACTTATATAATTAGAAATCTTCCTTCGAACAGTTTTATACCTATATTATATAATAAAATAATTAATAAGAAGCTCGTAAACTAAATTTAAACCACTTTAAAGTTTATAACTATAAAGCTTTTACTATAATAAATACCGTATAGAAGAAAGAGTAGCGGCGTTAAAAATATTTACCTAAAATATAAATAGGGTTTGTTATCAATTATTTAACGACTTCTATCTATCGTATATAGAATCCACATACAAATTGGATTATTTAGACTAGGGATATAATCTTTAACAAGAAGATTACTTATAACCTAAATCTTAAAAAATTGAAAGAGGACCTCTAAATAAATAGTAAAGAATTAGCGGATTTATTTAATAAAATTGACAAACCGTATAATTAACCTTCGAAAGTATCCGAATTATTAAAGAAAAAAGGTTATAAACTATAGAATAATATCGATAATACAAATATTAAACCGCTCCTTTCGAGCCTCGTCAATCGAAAATACGAATAATATTAAGAAGATTCCTAAGAAGGGAGTAATTAATTGTAAGAAATCGCTATTTAGTAGCCTACTATAAAAAAGTATTTATCGAATATACTATAAAATTATACCCGCTATTTTTATTTACCCCGCCAACCGTACTCTATATTAATTATTTAATCAACCGAACTATCGATAAGTATTTCCATTAGTAAAAATTATAAGAAGTTGCCTTTAACGCTAATAGATTATTATAGCTAATAATGAAAATAAATAGGAAGATAATTACTAAGGTAGAAGTATAACGGCTAATTATAAAATATAGCCGTTTCAATAGGGTTTACCAACGGGATTTACTAATTATACCCAAATATTATAATAATTTTAATAACCATTTATTCGGTCAATTATTTAAGTAAATAGAAGAAACTTATTTACAAAGTTATAAAGATATACAAACGTAGATTGAGATTGACGAAGGCATATTATAGGTAAAAAGTAAATAAATCTTCGATTATATATAAGTATACGCCTACAAATTTAATAAAAATAATATGTTTAATAAATATAAAGTAGAATTCGTTGTAAGAAGGAAGTAATAAAGTAAAACGGGAATAAATACGTATACCTCTACCTTAATAAGGAAATTATTTAAATCTATTATTACTCTAATTATTTGTTTGAACCTTAAATTTATTTAATACGATATAATTAATACTTTTATTAATACCTTTTGTAATAAGGAGATTTATATACGTATACCGTCTAGGTATCAAATCCCCGGCAAGGTACTCAAATTAATTAAAATACTATATAGTTTCCGACGAGTACCCTTATTGTAGTAACGCAAGTTTAGCAGAGTATTTAAATTAATAAGATTCGAAGCAATCCTTAAGGACCCTTATATTATAAGAAAGAATAATATTTTTATACTCTATTATATTGATAATATGATCTTTATATTTAATAAAAATAAAATAGAAAAAATTAAAAAATATAGGATAGAATTATAATTAAAATATTATTTAATTAGAAAAAATAAATTCTAATGGTTTTTAGGTACTGAAATTATATATGACCGAAATTAGGAATAGATTTAATTATTTTAAAAAGTATATATCGATAAAATTTCGAAATTATTTAAATTTAATTATTGACTTACTCTAGTACTTATAAGCTATAAGGAATTAGTCCCTTACAAGGGTATTGCTAACTATATAGAAATATATACTTATTAAATTAATATAAGATTATTATTATATATAGTAATTAATATTTAATTAAATATTACCTTCGTATTAAATAAATTAATTAGATATAATTATAATCCTAATTCTACTATATAGCCGTTAGTAAAAAGGTTATATAATATCTTCGAATAACGAAAATATAGGGACTCTACTTTAGTGGTAGTAATAAATTTAAAATTATTTCTAATGCTTCGTTTATTAATAATAATAAAATTATAAGAGTTTATAAAGGTTTACTATTAAATTCTATAGTAGTCTAATTTATTAGGGAATAATTAAATAGATTATAGTTACTACATTAACAATAAAAATAAAATTGTATATAATTAAAAAGGTAGTAAAGGAAACCCTTTTTATAAACTGGTTAATTTTAATTCTAAGGGTAAAATTATTAAAGGACCCTATCCCTACTCTACGATATAATAACCAATAAACTATTAAAGTACTTATAAAAGAGATGCCTACTTTTAATATAAAGATAAAGTATATAAATATTTATAAATATTAATTAAAAGAGGAGATTATTAAGAAGAAAATACTTAATATCGAATATTTAGAGACGAAATCGATGCTAGTAGATAGATTGATGAAAGTATTAGGTATTCTAGAGTATAGGAAATTTAGGAAATTGTTACGTATAGCCGAAGTGCCGCCGTAGAAGGATAGCGGAGGAGAGGATAATCCGGTACCAAAGAAGGTTAATTTCGATAATTTGGATAAAATACTAAGATTGAAAATATGAAAAGACGAGAGTAATATATAAATAGTTTCACTTTTAACCTCAAAGAAGTAAGTAGAGGTTTGTAAGTGAGGGGGTATATTAAATTCCAGGGTAGTATTCTACCTAGATATAGGTTAGATGCTAGAGTCCCAGCCACTTAATTTATAAGTCTTGGCAAATATAGGTTACCCCCAAAACCCCCAGACCTTCTGGAGCAGAGCGCTCGAGTCAGTCACACAGAATCAATCAACCAGATCACACCAGTAAATCTGACACAATCCCGTCGCTGCGCCTCTTTTGACTTCTCTAGGCGGTTGTGAGGTTGTCCAATCGCAAGGGACCGTAGCCAGTGAGCTGGCTGTAGAATCTTAGTACACAGGCCTAAGCATTTACTGGTTTGTGCACGACCCAACTCAACGGAGTACGTACCTTGGTACCTCTAATAGTGCTCCCAATGAGCCAAGCCGAGCCGAGCTCGAGAGTATGGCTCGACTCGGCTCGTCTCCACATACCGCTTTTTTTCATTCGATTTGGATTCGTTCTAGCCAGCTGTAGTCTAGTACTGCCCACTTTTCTAAGCCGATCGCAAGCAAGACCCGCCCAGAGTGGGTATTTGAACGTGGTGGCAGGGGGTAAACCAGTTGGCTGGCACTCGCTCATATGCCCAGATAGGGTATGGCGGCCCGCTATACCCTTTCTGAGCGAATCCAAATCGAATGAAAAAAAGCGGTAGAGGCCAGCTCGGCTCGGCTCTAGCTCGGCTCGCTATGGGCTCGTTAGGCTTGTTTTGAAAATAGTATACTAAAGACCTCTGTTGTTGCTATAGCAACGAGAAGTAACCACTTCTTACTACAACCTAACGCGTAAAAAGAGTAAATTACTCACTTTGACGTATGGGCGGATGCTGAAATATACCCCCGACTCTACGTATATACCTGGATCCGGTCATTCTGCAGAAGAAATTGGGGTACATACACCAAAAAATATTGGAGAACCATACTATACAAGCCTGACGAGCTATGACGAGCCGAGCCTAACCTCCAGCTCGTTCAAAATACCCCCCCGGCTCGGCTCGTACCAAAATATCTGGGCTCAGCTCGGCTCGCCAACGGCTCGGCTCATTGGGGCTACTGCTCTAATACAAGACCCCAAAGACCAAGTTCAAAGGCCAACTCCAACTTCAACACCTCCGTCCACCACACGAGCTTGCCGTAGGTTGTTATAATTCTTCAACCCCATTCCAGTAGACAATGACTTAGGCCGTCCGCTAGTCTTTCTTTGAGGACCGACAACACTTTCTACTCTGTTGGCCGACATGAGACGCCGCCACAACACAGTCGCAAGCAAGACCAACAGCCCGTGACCATTTTCCACTTCGATTGTTGTCCACTTGCTCGAAACATCATCTGGTGATAGCCCTCCAGTTAGCACATCATCAGCTGATGGTAGAAGAAATCGGCCGCACGAGCTTCACAAGAGTGTCATACGCAATCAGTGAATCACCTGGAAGCTTCAAATCCAAACGCCTTCAAGCTCACCGTATACCTACCTACCGGGGCCGGCCGCCGGACATATCTAAGTGGAATACCAACCAAAGACACCAGCAATCTAGTTTGTTCATCCCACCATCTAGCTGCGCCAAACATATAGTCAATTGAGCGGAGTTAAGGCACAAAAACACCGATTATCTCCTGAAGCTGCCTAAAGATCACTTCACTCACTTTCATTGAATCCCCCAACGCCCAGTCACGAAATACCTGATCTCCGGCTGACATTCCGGACCTGCGCTAGTCATCCAGTAAGCAGCAACTTAATAACCGGATCCGATGAGATATCCCTTCCACGAAACTTTTCAAAAATGTCTGTTGGAACAGGTTGAAAACTTGCGATCTGAAAATCCCGGTTTGGATTGATCACACAGGCTTGTACCCCTTCCGGACCGACCGGGGTGTTTGAATGACTACCGGTATGTTTCCCTTGTCATCGTTCGGGCCAACATGTGAAAGGGCAAACCCGCCTTCATTCACGTGTGCCAACACACAGAGCCCGGCAACAGATGTGTGTCAAGAAACAAAGCCCAGAACCAGATGGATCGATCAACTGGGGAAGCCTTTCCAACTGCCTCAGGTTGATAACGTCAATCAGCCTTTCTTTTCTCCATTCACACGATGACGGAAATGCGTTGCGCAGCCAACCAACCAACCATTGTCCATCCGAGGCTGTGCCGGTTTGCCTCAGCCCTAACGACCCGCTTGTTAGTTTGGGGTTTGACTGTTTCCGGTCCCTTGGGACACCAACGGTGCTCAGCCCTGTCCGTCTTGACGAACAACACCACTCACTAGTTCACCAACATAGCCTAACGAGCCGCCTTGATAACTGCCGCACGCGAAGTAGAAGATCTATCTGCCTGTCATCGTATTTCGCGAACGGTCAAAGGAGGAGACAAGACAACACGCCAATCAAGCCAACAGCCTCTTTCAGACCTTTCACCATTCCGGATGTCATACGTTGTACAGTGTACCGAACGCAGGCGGGTTCTGCTTGACGCTTGACCGTTGGTTATACTGACAGGGATGGGAAAAGTCCAGGTTACGGGAAGTTTTACAGACATCATCATGACCAACTCAACCTCACGAGGCTCTCACGACCAGCGTGGAAACACCAGAGCAAACTCTACTCTGATCGTCAGTTCACGGCCCCAACCGGCAGTCAAAACCAAAGACACAATCATCAAGTAAGTAAGGTTGATGTAAGCTCGTTATATATGGTTTCGATAACTTGGTACCCGCGCATCGAAATCAAACTCCGCGTAAGTCCAAACCAAGCTATCCTAGTTCTAGTCTATACACAGGAAGGAGATGGTAACGACGAGAACATGTCGTTGTCCTCTGGCCAAGTGAAGAAAAGATGCACGTAACCCCCCAGACAATGCATCAAGATAGGAAAGAGAAAAAATGGTATATCGCAAATGCAAACGAAAAGCACACAGAGAAGACTTTGGCCGGTCGGAAAGAGGAAGCAGAGCTTTTGTTATACCAGTGAAGGAACCGAGTTTTAGCAAAAAAAGAGAAAGGAGATCAGACAGGACAGAACAGGTCTACAATGACCGTTTAGTCATCGAACTTGATGCCACCGACGGCGAAGGTGTCGATGGGTCCGCCCCGGTAGCTGCCCCTCTTCTTCTTGTTCTTCTCCTTGGTGAAGCCCTTTCCTCTGGTGACAATTAGATCCTCGTGCGCCTTCTGGCCCCACGCGTGACCGGCGAAAGCGTTGGAAGCGAGACGCGGGTCAACTACGACGTCCTTGCGCACGCGAGAGAAGGGCTGGATCTCCTTCTTGGGTGGCGGGCCGTTGGCCTTGCCGCGGTTGTTGGTCTTCTCCGCGTTGTCAGGAACGGGAGTAGACTCGGTGGAAGCCTTGATGGTAGCAGAGGAGTCGGAACCGTTAGTGGAGGCGGCCTTCTTGTTGTCGGTCTTCTTCTCGTCCTCGGAGTCGGAAGAGTCAGAGTCGGACGAAGAATCGCTGGAGGAGCTGTCGCTGGAGGAGCTGTCGGACTTGACAGCCTTCTTGACTTCCTTCTTGACCTCCTTCTTCTCAGCCTCAGACTCAGAAGAGTCAGAGTCGGAGTCCGAGCTGGAGTCGGAATCAGACGAAGAGTCAGAAGAGGAGTCGGAGTCGCTGGAGGAGCTCGAATCCGAATCGGAAGAGGAATCGGAGGAAGAATCAGAAGACGAGGAGTCGGAGCTAGAATCGGAAGAAGAGTCGGAAGAGGAAGAGTCAGAAGACTCCTCCTTCTTGGCGACAGCGGCCTTCTTGGGAGAAGCAGCCTTGGCGGCGGGCTTCTTCTTGTCGTCTTCGGATTCGGAGGAAGAAGACGAGTCGGAGGAGTCAGATGAAGACTCAGAAGAGGAGGAAGAAGACTCGGCGACCTTCTGCTTCTTGGCCTTGGGGGCCTCATCCTCAGAGCTGGAAGAGTCGCTGGAGGAAGAATCGGACGAAGAGGAAGAGCTCTCGGAGCTGGACTCGGCCTTGCGCTTGAGAGGGTTGGCGGCAGGGGCGGCGGGGGCGGCGGCCTTGGTCTTCTTAGCCTCATCCTCGCTAGAGCTGGAGTCGCTAGAGCTGTCGCTGGAAGAGTCGCTGCTGCTGCTAGAGCTCGAGGATTCGGCCTTCTTGGCGGGGGCCTCCTTCATCTTTTCGTCTTCACTGTCACTATCGCTGTCGCTGTCCGAAGACTCGGACTCGCTAGAGCTGCTGCTCTCGTCATCGCTGTCGCTATCGTCGCCACTGGTGCTGCCGGCCTGCTTGGGCTTGGCCTCCCAGGTCTGGAAGATAGAAACGAGGGAAGCGTCGGAAGACTTCTTCTCCCAGCCGTTCTTGGTGATTTTCCTGGTGAACTCGGTCGCGGCGTCGGCAAAGTTGTTCTCGGTGAGGAATTTCTCGACGGCGGCAAGGAGCTGAGCGGAAGGCTGGGCGGCAGCCTTCTTCTTGTCGCCCGACTTCTTAACGACCTTCTTGGTGCCGGCCATTTTGGTTTTTGGTTCGGTAGAGGCTGCTGAGGCAGGAGCGGTCGACGAGGAGGTAGTGTTGTTGGAGAATAGCCAGGAAGGCGGGGCGGACATGGAGGTGAGAATTCGAAAACACCAAAAGGATCCTCTGGAACTCGAACAAAAATCGGTTCTGGACAAAGGACGCGGGCGCGCTGGGCGAGGATCGATTGCGGAATTCGAAATTCAATGGGCCTCGCGACGGACGACTGGCAAAAATTTACGGGGCTTGGCTGAATTGGGCCAGACCGCCTTCTCTTTTGGGGTTTTGCCGCATTTCTCCGCCCTTCGGCCTTCCTGATGCCCTTGCATTCGGGTACCTCGTCCTATGTTTCTTGCTGCAGCTGTCGGACAGTTGCAAGGCGGGGTATCCTTGCTGCGCCAGCTCCAAGACAGAACAGGGTTCAAGCGTCTGTTTTAATCCGCATAGTCACTTTGACTTCCTTAAACTGTTAGTGTCAGCCGATGCTGACCCTTCTCACAACCCAACACTTCTTGAACACTCGTCATCCAGCAGTCGATATTTGATCGTAGGAGGATTATGATAGCACTTGAAAAGACAACGAGTGGGAAGCCATAAAACCGGAAACTCATTTGACTCAGGTTCTGTTCGGCCCTTATTGCCACCAGCTCCTCAACGGCTCACTCTTCGAATCGTCCATGGAAGGGTGTTGGCAGTTGGTCCATGAGGCAGACGAATAGGCTCGACTCCCATTTGCTCTCCCACTTGGATCTCCAACTTCGAGTGTTTCAACGTCAAGACATTATACAGAGTTATGGGTGTGCCCCTTGGCCACAGAACCGCTGACGGGTACAGGCCATCCTTAGGCCCTCGTTCTCTTCTAGTTTTCAAAGCTATGTGTGGAATAAAAGGTGCTTTCTTCGTATTACTGGTAATGGACGCGTCACAACGATGATGGCCCCGCAGAAGCTACCCTATGAAACCATTTCAGAAGGGATATATGAGGTTCAACACCTGGTAGAAGTTAGGGAGCTATAAATGAGAATGTGCTCCTGCTTGTGTGGCTGCTCCGAGCGTTCTCATCTTGACATCACCCGTTGCTGCTTCTAACATCCCTATCCCATTTATCAACCTCTGAAGTTTTTACGTTCCTCAATCTAACCCAAGTTCCAACATGGGAGCGCGATTCGTCCGATGTCCATCGCCGCTTGATTATACGCCTCTATACATACGCTGGATGGTAATGCCTTCCGCTGACACCCCTTGGATCTTGAAACGTGGTGAGGGAGTACAGGGTTGCGAGTTGGTAGCTTTACGGGTTATGAACATAAGTTGTTATATATTGGACTATATGCGATGAATGAAACCGAAGATTCGAAATATATAAACACGTATGACCCCTTAGTTTGCTGATACAACAAATGCTTGTTGCCCTTTTTCTTTTCGCACAGCTTTATACGAGCGTCGCTATATCCAAGGTTTAGGTTTTTATGAACAAGAACCACCACCAACTCCACCACCACTCATTCACCGCGCACACTTCTCCCAGACCTCTACACCAGTAAGCCACGTACTTCCAACCATCATAAGCCCAATCATGCCCGGCCAGTCCGGAAACCACCCAACAACAGCACCGGGCTGAGCAAGATCAAGCAGATCAGCCATGACCCTACGTTGGATCCGCATGCAGCGATCCTTCCGAATCGCGTTCCTCTGCTCCTTCTGCTCCAACACCGCGCGCTGGCGTTCCTCCTCCTTTAGTTGGTTACCATGCTCATCCTCCTCCTTTGTTCCTGTCTGTTTCTCCTTCTCCTTCTCCGTCTCAGCAGCATCACCGGCACCATCAACGCCAGCCTGGTCCCGATCATTCACCAGCCTAACCACACCCGCAACCACCCCGCAAACAAGCGCAAACAACCAAAACCTTTGACCCTCCACATGCAAAAACCTATTAACCTCCGCTCCCCACGGATCCAGCCCCGGCACGCCCAGCGCCGCGAAGAACCCCAGCGCCTCGAAGAGGTTGTACATCCCGTTAAAACTCTTGGACATGATATCCAGCCACATGCAGTAAATATCCGCCTCGCTCTTGTCGGTTTCCGTTTGTGCCTGGTGCTGGTAGTAAAGAGTCGAAGCAGAATGAAAACTCTCCAAGAAGCGAAAGAGCCGGAAGAAGCGCCGGCCTTGGGATAGTTTTGAGCGGACGCCTAGGGCGATGGTGATGATTTGGGCTTCTGCTTCGGTTGACGGGGGGAATGATTCTTTTAGGGGTGGAGATAGGTTGAATGTGCTCAGACCCATGACGAGGGAGGCGCGGAGGACCTGGTGGAGAGTGTAGAGAAAGAAGATGAAGATGGAGCGGATGGAGGGGATGTGGGCGATGCATTGGGCGAGGGCTTGGAAGAGGCGGAAGGTGCGTTCGAGACCAGCTGAGGGGAGGGTGTTAGTTAGGTTGGATTGTCGTTTGCGGTGGATGTTGGGTTGGAGAAGCGCAGCAGAGAGTAAGTATCAAGTGCCCTCAGCGCAGTGCTGGAGCGTGAAAGGAGGGGAATCAACTTACTGGCATCCGTCCCAAACTTTATGAGAGTCTCAAAGTTGCTTCGCTTTTTCACCTTCATCCGCTCAACCGTCACCACAGCCCTCTTCCCATCAGCCACAACCGGCCCCTTTTCGTCCATCGTAACGTTAGTGTTCTGAGTCATCCTAACTTCCCCAATCACCCAAACCTCCAAACAAATCAATGTATGTGTATGCGTGTTCAAACTCACAAACACAATTCAACAACACCCCAACCTCAAGACCCAATCCCCTTCCCACCACCAGCACCACCCGCTCCTCCTCCTCCCTGTCCTCCTCCTCCTCCTTTCCCCCCTCCCTGCTGACCCCCCCTCTTCTTCTTCTTCTCCTTCTCCTTCGCGTCCTTATCCGCTTGTTGCCGACCACCCAGCAACGGACCAGCCAACAATCCTCCCACGTCCTGATTCGATCCCGTCCTCAGCGACAGCGAGTAATAGTAGTAATAGCCCCTAAAGCTGGGGATGCCCGTGGGACGGGTGATGTGCGCGCCGGGCCCGCGGAGCGAGGTGGATGCGTGGCGGGCGTGGATGCCGAAGGAGGAGCCGGCGACAGAGGCGGAGGAGGAGGGCGGGGGGAGGGAGGAGGTGGATTGGGAGCGTTGGTGGGAGAAGCCGCCTGGGGGCATTTGGTGTGAGAGTTTGGGCTGGGCTTGGATTTGTGTGTTTAGGTGCGTGTTGGATGGGGGGTGGTTGAAGTTTGTTGGGGTTCTCAAAAAGTTGTGGTCTGATGGTGAAGGTGGTTGTGAGTTTTTGAGAGTAAATGATATCCCAAAAAGCGGTAAAGAGTCTTTGAGGGTTTTGGCTCAGAGGATCTTCAGAAGAAGGCCTGTTATATATGAACGATTAACAAAGCCAAAACAGAACCCATCTGCGTGACTGTTTACGACCTCTTATGAACCTAAATAAGGAAAAACAGAGGGGCAAAAGAAGGCTGTGAAGCTGTGGTTTGGGTGTCTTGGGAGGTGTTTATTGGGCAGGCATGGAGCCCTGGGAATGTTGACAGGTCATCAGGGTCCCCAGAAAAAGGCTGTTCTCGGCTGTGAACGAGTGGAAACTCCGCGCGGGAGTTCCCCGGACATAAAGTGGAGGTTGCTGTGATGATCGCTTGATCGGCTTTGGGCCTGAATTTGTCAATGGTTCATAGCGGAATGAGAATCATCACCACCAAAACAACAACACATGCGATCTGACCGGATCGTCAAAGACATCTGGTATCTCTCCTGAACGCATTGTGTCTCATCCAAATTCAATACCCCCTTATTAAAATCACGCCAACTCAGCAAAGCATAAAAGCCAAAATAAATACAATAACATAAGCCCAACCGGGGCAGTCTAAGAGCTTCTAGGGCATGGCTTTTATGCACAAACGTACAATACAGACACGCATTAAACGCGGCCGGTTTTCTCTATGTTAGGCTTGTAACAAAGCAGGCTCTTTGCGTACTGGGAACGCACTCTTCCGGCCTCCATCCTGTTGTTCATTATTCACTGTTGTCATCGTGTCACCCCTTACATGCCAGGGGAGATAAGCTTGCCCTGCTGTCTGGCATTGTGTTGCCAGCCGCCAGCAAGAGCCTCACCACCGTTCTCCTGAGCAAACTTCCGCATACGGGCCTCCAGCTCGGGCCGGAAGTGGCGGATGAGGCCTTGGATGGGCCAGGCAAAAGCTTCGCCGAGAGCTAAACAGATCATTGTCAGTGCCAATCAACAATGATCATGGAACAAACCAGATAGACCTACCGCAGATAGTGTGACCTTCAACCTGCTTAGTCAACTCCTGGAGCATATCAATCTCCCTCTCACGTCCCTGGCCCTTCTCGAAACGCTTCATGATCTGCTCGGTCCACTTGCTGCCTTCACGGCAAGGTGTGCACTGGCCGCAGGATTCGTGGCGGTAGAAGTGGCTTAGTCGGGAAATGGCGCGGACGACATCGGTGCTCTTGTCCATGACGATAAGAGCGGCAGTACCCAAACCGGACTGGCTGTCCTTGAGCGCATCGAAATCCATCAACTGGTCATCGCAAATGTGCTTGGGCAGAATAGGCGTCGAGGATCCACCGGGGATGACGGCTAAAAGGTTATCCCAGCCACCGCGGACACCGCCGCAGTGCTTGTCGATAAGCTCACGCATCGGAATGCTCATCTCCTCCTCGACAGTGCACGGGTTGTTGACGTGGCCGCTGATGCAGTAAAGCTTGGTACCCTGGTTGCGCTCACGGCCGAACCCGGCAAACCAGCTGCCACCGCGGCGGCAGATGGTGGGAGCGACAGCAATAGTCTCGACGTTGGCGACAGTCGAAGGGCAACCGAACAGACCGACGGCAGCGGGGAAAGGAGGCTTAAGACGGGGCTTTCCGGGCTTGCCCTCGAGCGACTCGATCAAGCTGGTCTCCTCGCCGCAAACGTAGGCACCGGCGCCACGGTGGATGTAGACATCGAAATCGTAGCCAGAGCCGCAGGCATTCTTTCCGATCAGCCCATCAGCATAAGCCTCGTTGATAGCGTTCTGTAGAACGGCAGCCTCCTGGATGAACTCGCCACGGATGTAGATGTAGGCAGCGGTAGCATTCATGGCACGGCCGGCGACCAAGCAGCCCTCGACAAGCTTGTGGGGATCCTTGCGCATGATCTCGCGATCCTTGCAGGTACCCGGCTCACCCTCATCGGCGTTGACGACCAGATAACGGGGCTTGTTGTCCTTGTCCCAGTCCTTGAAGTTCATGAAAGACTGGCATGCGAGAGAAAACAGTCAGTACAATTGGTTTTATTTTTCTAATGGCCCGTTTGCGAAAACACACCCATTTGAGTCCCGAGGGAAAACCAGCTCCACCACGGCCTCTAAGACCGGAAGCCTTGACCTCGCCAATGATCCAGTCGTGACCCTTGAGGAGAATCTCCTTGGTCTTGTGCCAATCGCCCATCTTCTTCGCATGCTTCAGGTCGGGCGGGTAACGGCCGTAGAGGTTCTGGAAGATGCGGTCCTGGTCCTTAAGACCGCCGTAGTGGCGCACGGGATTGGCAGAGCCATCTTGGACGGTCGCAAAGGTTCGGCATTGCTCGACGGCGGCGCGCGAGAGGGTCCTGGCCGACGCCTTGGTGGGCGCCGCGGTACGTGAAAGCATGATGAAAGTCGTATCTGCTCCGGACACAGAGCAGTGTGGAGTATGCCTATGGAGGCCGGGAGCGGGAGGGGACTCTGGGGGTCGTCGTCGGGGATGGGGACTCGAGAGGAGTGGGTGAGGTTATTCCACTTGCCCACTTGTTCCCGTCCCCATGGGGCTGGTGGCCTTCAACTTCATGGACGTAACCGATTCTTTCGCCATTCTGATTGGCCCATTACTATAGGCTCAGGTGTGGCGCTTGGGCCTGTGGCGGGAGCTTCTTGGTGCTCCGAGGTGAGCGAGGTCACGGTGCCAATGCACTGCAGAGTGCCCCTCCGTCCCAAGGCTGCAAGTCGGAAGCTGTGGCCGATTGGCTGGGCCATCTCGTCTCACCTCCTTACATCTTGCGCTTTGTTCCTGCGTCAAGATGCCCTCTTCTTTCGTCCCAAGGTGCGCATGCAATGGCGCATGTTGTCCAGGTTGAAAGTTGGAAAGAGTTGAAGGTTGAAAGAGCTCCACGAAAATTTAAAGACCTCAGATCCAACAGATCCATCATCCGCGAGTCAGGGATGCCCTTTGCAAACGTCAAGCATGCATGACTAGCAAATCCCCGCCCACCAAACCCACGACCTCCATCTTCATCTCCATCAACTCCATAAAGTTGACGATAGCGCCCGAGCTTCCAAGCTCCCAGCGACCCAGAGCTTCGGCCACCCAATCTAGATCTCCGCCCGATCGAGCGACCAATATCTCCAAATATCGGCCGGACGAGACCGACCGCCCAAACTAGAGACAACATCTTGTGCACAAGATCTTGTTTACAAAGACAACAAATACCTAACGCGACGGTACATCGGCCATTACAGTGTCTGGACACCAACAAACCACAACCACAACAACAATGTCATCAGCAACCCCCTCCCCCGGCCCCAGCTCCTCCTCTGCCCATGGGCACCACAAACGACACTCCATCCTTCCCGCCGTCTCCCAATCCGGCCCCAAGCCCCCCGTGCAATTCTCCTCGTCCTGCACCATCGCCGACAGCGCCCTCCTCACGGGCGCGCACACCATCATCGTCAGCACCGAGAGCGTGATCCACCCGCGCGCGCGGCTCGAGTCTTTGGGCGGTCGCGTCACGGTCGGCCGGCGCTGCATCGTGCACGAGCGCGCTTGCTTGGGGGCAGCCGACCTGCAGGGGAGGTATCACAAGGGGAGTCCGGACAAGGAAGGGCGCTCGATGGGCGCGGTGACGCTGGGCGATTATGTGACGGTCGAGGTGGGCGCGCAGGTTGAGAGCGGCGGGACGGTGATTGGGGAGGGCACGACGGTGGGCATTGGGACGAGGGTTGGGGCGGGGGCTGTTGTTGGGAAGGTGAGTTCAACTGTCGACACAAGTGTTCTATCTCTTGCTCCAGTGCATCGGTGATTGATGTGCTGCTGGACCTACTCGGTCGTGGCTGTATGGGACTGGACTGGTTTGGACTGGACTGAAGTACTGATATTGCCACAGCATTGCACCCTGACCGCCAACAGCACCGTTGCAGCAGGTGAGGCTATTCCAGACTACACGGTAATCTACTCGAACGGCCTACGGAGAGTCGACAGAAGAGGAGTGTCGGATCTGAAGAACAAAGCACAAGCTCGCCAAATCGATGTCCTCAGGCGAATGATACCCAGCAACCCGGCAAAATTCCAATGATACCCAGGTTACTTGCTCCCTGATGTGCTGGTAATGAGTTCACGTGCGGTGTCATGTTGCCCTGGTTGCAGTGGAAGAGAACTCTTGTGTTGAACGAAACTCGAACTATTCTCGAAGAGCTTCAATCACAACGGTATCGAGTGGCATACACAAACATGCCGAAAGGTTTTGAGATAGGTCTCATGTCCTGCCATACCAACATCACCATGAATGTAAAAGAAAAAAAAGAGGGTATAGCTCGGCTGCGCGAGAGGAAAGAGGGGAATAGATGGAGTGTCATAACATAGACATGTTCATGCTTTTTAGGGGAAAAGGCAAAAAGGACACAAGAACAAAAGAAGAATTTGAAAAAGAGGGAAAAGGGCAGCTAGCTCGCATTGCTAGGGAAAAATGCAAAAATTGAAGGAACGATCGGGAATTGAGCCCGACGTGGGGGTCGAACCCACAACCTTGAGATTACGGAGGAACTCCTTAAGAGTCTCACGCTCTACCGATTGAGCTAGCCGGGCAAGCGGCTATCAATCACTCCTTGATGAAAAGTGTGCTGAATCTAGACCTTATGAAGTCAATCCGAAATGAAAATTTTTAAAGTTCAACAATATCAACCAAAACAAGACTCCTATTTTCTGTATCCCTTCACTGACTGCATTTCCACCCAGACTACCAAATACCAAAATATGTTTATTCATTCCCCTTTCACCATGTGATATTCCCTTTTTTACACCATCTATAGAAATCCTGATTGTGCCGTAATCATAAATGTCATGACGTTCTTAGTTCGAGTTCGTTGTTATCCCAACTGAATCTCCTATTGCATTACCTATCCCGTCCCATCCCATCCCATCCCATCACTCACTCAACTCACAAATACCTAACCTTCATCCACTCGCTCGTCCCCAACCCCAGATTTAACCCATTCTCCGCCCACCACCTCCTCACCCTCGTCTGATCGCCCAACGAATCCTCCAGCGCCTCCTCGATATCCATCGTCTTATACTCCACCCTCTTGCCCTTCCTCCCATTCATACCGGGTAGCTCCCCATGCGCATACCTCCGCCACCACTCCAGCACGGGGATATGCGCATGAAAAGTCGGCTCTATAAGAATCTGATTATCAAACTGCATCTTATCGTCCCCCCTCAGCTCGCGCCACAAGTCCAAAATTTTCACCTGGCCCCATCTACTCGCCATCTTGCACACCTGCTCCTGGTGTTCTAGGGGGACGCCCGACTGCTCGAGCCACCAGCGCATGATCTCCACGTGGCCGTACTGCGCCGCCATCAGCAGGGAGCGACCGGGTTTGAGGGAGATGTTGCGCGACGGGTGTTCTCTTTGGGAGGCGTCCCGCCACCATTGGAGCACGTCCAGGTGGCCTCGAGAGGTGGCTAGCTCGAAGGCGGATTCGGTGTATTTTAAGGGCAGGCCGGAGCGGCGCCACCATTCGAGGACGGGGATGCTGCCGCGCATGGAGGCTAGGTTGAGCGCTTCCGTGTCGTATTGCTTTTCCAAAAAGGAAGGGGAGCGCGCCCACCATTCGAGGATGTCGGTGCGGTAGTAGTAGGCCGAGGCTTTGGTCGGGATCGTCTTGCCGTCGAAACACTTGAAGAGGTGCGGGAAGTTGGACTCGATGTAGGTGAGGACTTCGGTGAGGCCGAATTTAAATATTAGGTGGACGGCGAGGGCGGAGAGATCCTGGAATGATTCAGGCGCTTGCGAGAGCTTTTCGCAGATGGCTTTGGTGTTGGCTGTCAGGAGCGTCCATTCTAGCTCGTGCATGAATACCTGCAACGGGTCGTTGGGGTCTTTGGGTTGGAGTCGCCAGCCTTCGCTCTCGGGCATGGGGATGGTGGTGAAGACGCCCATGGAGGTGGCTAGCTCCCAGTCGTTGGTGTATTCGAAGATCATGCTCCATAGTTCTGGTGGTAGTGTGCTTCTGGCCTTCTTCCCTGTTGCGGCGGATGTTCCCTGCTGAACGGATACTTCGACGGTGTAACCGATCTTGAGCAAATCGGCCTGGTTCTTGATGATCGCCAGTACTTCATTGAAAGCATCCCATTTCACGATACGTTTCGGGTTCGGGGAGTCGTCGTAATGCCACAGGATTGGGGGAAGTACCCGGATCCAGCTCCATTTCCGATGAAGCTTGCTGATCTGTCTCTTAGTCATTGGGTTCTCCCACATGTATGTGGTCATGCCAGGTATAAGAAGTATCCTCTTGGAGGCATCCCAACCCCTTAAGACCTCCAGTAACAGTGTATCTGCCATACCGCACATCATCCTCGCCAGGTGGTCCGCATCGATGGGCGCAATGACGAGAAGGTCGGCCCATTCTATCAGTTCGTAGGCTTCCTGCTGATATGTTTCGATCTCCTTCCCCGTAAGACCATCGGGTCCATCTGCCCTCAAGCTCTTGTTCTTGTGTACCATAATTTCTTGTGCTAATCGGTGGGTCATGTCGTCGACTATCGCTCGTGTTGTTATTTGGGGCTCTTTCGACAGGCGGACGGCGATGGCCTGCGCGTAGGCGACATCTCGAGGGCCATTTGCGGCGATCAGGAGACGAAGTTTTCGAGGACGTTGGATTTCGTTTAGGGATGCCGTAGACGGAACGCGATCGATGGCAGATACCCGGCTAGCAAGGCTAGCAAGAGAACCGTTGCCAGCCATGGCGGCGAGCTGGCGGTATTAGGTGTGTTGTTTTCGTTCGTTCGTTCGTTCGTCCGCTCGGTCGGTGGTTCGCAGGGCGCAGTGTTTGTTCGGATTCGGCTCGATAAAGAAGGATCAGAATGCCGTTTCAGGCCTCGAATATTGCGCTTTTTCCACCGTGGATACTTTGCTGAAATCAATAGATCGGAAGGCGTATTCTTGCCAAAACACCGATATGCTGTTGTGTTTAAGCCGATATTGGGCAACGATGAACCAAATCAATCGTAAGGTAGCGAACTGCGATTGGCTTATCTCGGAAACCGTCGGATAAAAGGGTGCTGAATGACGACACTGGTCTTGCGATCAGAGGATTGTTGTTGTCACTGTCAGGTTATGCTGAGGGGTATGACATGAGAGACCGTGAGAAACAAAGAGGAGGATGAACTGTTGGGTGAGGCGTTCGAGTGCACAGGGCGAATCAAACGTCGATCGTTGAAGAATGGTGTGTGACGGGAGACAAATGTTGAGACACGGGAGAGTTCTTTGGAGGTGCGCGATTAGGTACTATGTACTACTGTACTGTTTGTACGGATGAGGGTCCGGATACAGTGGGGTGTCTAGCTAGATGTCAGTCTTTTTTTTGTCTGTCTCTTGTTACAAAACCCCATGAGGCCATCCACGCAGCAGACGGGATGGTGCGAGAGTGACGTTTTTCTCGTTGCCCAGATACCCAATGAAACAGTGAAGCGACCGCCCAGACAAGCAGAATGACAACAAATGCCCAATACTTGGCTGTCACGTTCGCTGCACAAGTTCGCAGACCCTGCTGGCCCGGTGTGGGGTACTTCGACGGGCCGGGTGGAAAAAATCATAGCGGCGGAACGGAATGTTCTCCGGATGATGAAACCGAAACCGGGAACGTCGCATCGGGTCTCAACTTTCCACAACACTGGGAATCTAGGCCATGGGGAAGATGGGGTCCTTCGTGGATCCGTGGACCCTTTCTTACTTAGCAGCACAGTCCGAAAAGTAAACCGTTCTTCTAGTTCTTGATGGAAAATGGAAGACATCTTACTTCTATACTACTGAGCCAAGAGACATGGTATGTAGATGACCGCTTTAGATAAAAGATTAACCGTAAAACGAACATGCAATTATCACCGCTCCAAGTCCCTCTAATCATCCAGACCCAAGCCGTCCACCTGGCCCAAGAACAACCCCTGCTCACCCTTCAGCAACTCACTAACATCCAATCCAGTGAGGTACCTCTCGCTGACGCCCGTGTTGATCCTCTTGCTCAAGAGATCCCTCAGCGCAGCCCTCAGCGACGCCAACTCTCCCTTGCTCATCTGCTGTGCCTCTTTCTGCTTCTGCTTCTTGAAGCTGCCCTTGCCGCCCCACTTGCCTGCCTTCTCAAGCTCTTCCGAGTCATATTCAACACCCAAATCCTCCGCTGCCTTCTTCATCCAGTCGTCCTCCTTTCCACCCATGGTCTTGGCCTGCACCGCATCGGCAATCTTCTTGGCCAAGTCGACGCGCTCCCGCAGCTTGGCGACGACGCGCCTGTCAATGTCGATGGTGCGCAGACCGCTCGACACGAGTTTCTTGGTGTTGTTGCCCGAGTTGCCGGCCTTGACCTCGGCTTGGGCGTGCACCTTGGCAACGAGGCGCTGCGTCGGCACGGCTTCCTTGGGACCGCAGAGCAGGATGCTCGTGCCCGAGTTGGAAGCACGGGCGGTACGACCGGAGCGGTGCACGTAATCCTCGGCGGCGCGGGGGACGTGGTAGTGGATGACGAGGTCGACTTCGGGGATATCGAGACCACGGGCGGCGACATCGGTGGCGACCAAGATAGCGGCAGAACCGTTCTTCTTCTTGGCGCCCTCGTTGGCCTTGAAGCGGTCGATGGAGCGGAGACGGGCTTGCTGGATCATGCCGGAGTGGAGAGGGAAGGCTGGAAGATTGAGATTCTCGAGGAGGGGAGTCAGGCGACGGACCGAGTTGACGGAGTTGGTGAAAACGAGCGCACGCCGTGTGGGCTGGAGCATGAGAGTGGCGTAGAGGTAGAGATCCTTCTCCATGTCTCCGCACATGATGAGACCCTCCTTGAGGTTCTCGGCCATTTGGTGGACGGGGTTGGCGTCGACAAACTTGGGGGTCTCGCGGAAGTTGAGCTTCTGGAGAAGGTACTCCATGTCCTGAGTGCTCGTCGCCTTGAACTTGGATTTTCCGGCCAACTTTTGCTGCAAGTTCTTGTTGAATGTGGCGGAGAAAATGAGAGTCTGCCTCTTGTTGACGGGCTCTTCTTCTTCCTCCTCCTCCTCGCTTTCCTCTTCCTCCTCTTCCTGTCCCTCTTCATCAGTGTTGCCCATCTTCTGATCCTCATTGTTCTCCTCCACCGGTGGCCTGTCAAGCGCCTTGAAAATCTCCTCAGCCTCCTTGAAGGAACCGTCCTTCAGAAGTCTATCCGCCTCATCCAATACGAGGAAGGAGATGTTCCTTAGAGAAGCGAGCACGGAGTTGTCTGAGCTCATGACCTCCCACATTCTACCGGGGGTAGCAATGACAATATCGGCAACCTGAAGCTGGCGTTTTTGCTTCTGTACTGCCATACCACCAAGAACCGAGCAAATGTAAGGCGCCATAGGAAGACCCTTGCAGAGCGCTTGAAGATGGTCCCTGATCTGTTGGGCAAGTTCTCTGGTGGGTGACAAAATCAGTGCTGTGGCGCCCTTCTTCTCTTCCTTGTTCTGCTTCCTCGTCTCAGCAGCGCTCAACCAGCTTTCGACGACGGGAATTCCGAAAGCCAACGTCTTTCCTGAACCGGTGGATGCCTTTCCGATAACGTCGTGACCAGCCATGATCTCGGGAATAGCCTTGGACTGAATAACGGTGGGCTTGGTGAATTTTAGTTTGGCGATGGACGAGATCATCCGAGGCGACAAATCGAGCGGCACCCATTCGGACATGTCAACCTCCTCCTCTTCAGGCTCGGGGAGTTCCTCCAGTTTGGTGAAGAGATCAGTTTCTAGTTCGGGGTCCTTCGGTTCGACAGTGGTCTTCTCGTTCTTTCGGGCCTTCTTCTTGTCCTCGGCGTTCTTCTTGTTCGCTGCCTTGTTTGGCTGTTCTTTCTTTGGCTGTTGCTTTTGCTGCTTTTGCTGCTCCTTCTGCTGCTCCTTCGGCTTCTTCTGGTCCTTGGGGGCCTTCTTGTCCTTGGCTGGAGTTTTCACTGCCTCGACCTTGGAATCTGATGTCGAGACTTCCTGATCCGCATTCTCAGCAGGTTTAGGTGTCTCTTCATCATCGAAACCACCGAACTCTTCGCCATCATCTTCTACCTCCGCCTTTGACTTGGGAACAGCAGCCATCTGTCGATATGTGTGAGTTGATCCATGCCCCATTATTGTCATCATCAGTGACAAGACTTACAAACTTGACGACGTCTCCCTCTTTTACGACATCAACACCGGTAATTTCCTCCAAGCCAAAGAAACCTTCGGCGTCATCGAACATTTCGGGAATGTCGACCGTCTTCCATGCCAGCGCATCGACGGAAACGGGCCGCTTGGTCTGCTTGGACTGCTGTTGCGTCTTGCGACGCTTTGGCCCGCTGGCGTGAGCTTTCGTGTTCTTGCGCTTCTTGTCGACGGTCATGGTATGTATATGTCGTCGTGTTTGGGTGGGAAAAGGTATTGTGTTCAGTGGCTGTTGGTTGCACTGATAAACTTTGTGAAGGGGTGTTTTCTCAGTGAAAATGGTTGTAAAAGTGAAATGGAAATTTTGGCTCCACCCTGCAGCTAGGTTGCAGCAGCCGCTAGCTGGATCAGGCTAGCTTAGCTGCTGTAAATGACACCGCCTACCTATTCTGGATGACAGCTTGTAGAGGTGCCGACAGGACAGGACGTGGAAACAATCAACCTGTTTTCAATTGAATACTTAATATAAAGATTAGACGACATCGAACAGCTCAAGGATGTTTCTTATCTTCAAAGACTTTACATCCAGATATGCGTGTTTTCGATGTGCAAGTGGTAGGGCCGCCAAGGTGCTCGGTAATTATGCCGGCAGAATCTTTTTGGCGGTGACAATTTGCTGAAGACGGACCCCTCGTCGCCAAAATCCAATTCGGCACCCAGTACAGCAACAGCGACCTGTCACAGAAGTGGGGCATTTTGATCTTCCCAAACTCCCCCAGTCTCTTTCACAAGCTCATCCACTGACCACTCCTTCACTCCCGTCACTCACGCTTCATTACTTGACCCAAGTGAGTGAAGAATTCAAAATGGGAAAATCATCAAAAGATAAGCGTGATGCCTACTATCGCCTGGCAAAGGAGCAAGGATGGCGTGCCAGAAGTGCATTCAAGCTTCTTCAACTAGATGAAGGTAAAGACAGTTGACTTTTTCCTCGTGTAAAACAGTGTATCACTGCTAACACCGTACTTGTCAACAGAATTCAACTTGTTTGAAAATGTCACTCGTGTGGTCGATCTCTGTGCTGCCCCCGGTTCCTGGTCTCAAGTGTTATCTCGAGTCCTCATCAAGGGAGAGAAGTTCGGTCGTTGTGCTTGGCAAGACCGTGAAGCCAAGTTCCGGCAACAGATGCTCAACGTCTTCCCCGAGCAAGACGCCCAGGAGGATGTTCAGAAGGTGGAAGAATCTCAGGAGAACACACCAGCTCCCAGAGAACAGGTTAAGATCGTATCGATCGATTTGCAGCCCATCAGCCCTCTACCAGGAATCATCACCCTCCGAGCCGACATCACACATCCCGCCACCGTTCCGCTCTTGCTCAAGGCATTGGACCCCGATTTCGATCCCAGCACCATGAACCAGCAAGCGTCACACCCGGTGGATTTGGTCATCAGTGATGGTGCGCCCGACGTCACGGGTTTGCATGACCTCGACATCTACGTCCAGTCGCAGCTCCTGTTCGCAGCCCTCAACCTCGCCCTCTGCGTCCTCAAGCCCGGCGGCAAGTTCGTCGCCAAGATCTTCCGGGGCCGCAACGTCGACCTCCTCTACGCCCAGCTGAAGGTGTTCTTCGAAAAGGTCTACGTCGCCAAGCCCCGCTCTTCGCGCGCCAGCAGTGTCGAGGCCTTCATCGTCTGCATCAACTTCCAGCCTCCCGAGGGTTTCACAGCCAACCTCGAAGAGCCTCTCGGCGTCGGCAACAAGCTCGCCGAGATGTTGGCCGAGAAGCAAGCCAAGGAGGAACCAACAACAGAAAGTGCCATCCAGACGCCAGCAGATAAGGATGGCATCTACGACGTCAAAGTGGAGGACCTCACCAACGAGCCGCTGAAGGACATCCGATGGGTGGCCCCCTTCGTCGCCTGTGGCGATCTGTCCGCTTTCGATTCGGACGCCTCGTACAAACTTCCAGACGACCACGTCTCGCTCGACCCGGTCCAGCCGCCCACGGCACCGCCGTATAAGCGTGCCATTGAATTGAGGAGGCAAAACGGCGGAGCGTACAAGAAGACAGGAACAGCAACAGCTAAGGCGTGAATTTCTTTTCCGTTTAATTTTTTATGTTTAAAAAAAGATTCCCAATAACCAATCAACATCTACCTACCTGCCTGCCTATTTGCTTCAAATCCCCAATAAAGCCAACCAACCTGTCTAATCTCATGATACCACCATGCATGCAAACAACTTTCTCATTTTCTCTGCCGCCCCTTCTTGCCCGTCCCGACTTAATCCCCCATCTTCCTCGCCACAGCCGCCGGCCCCGTCCTCTGCATAACCACCAGTTTCCCTCCTTTCTCCTGCGTATCCCTCATCCCCAGCGTCCTCTCGTACAGCTTGGCCGCGTACGCGTCGCCCGTGAACAACACGACCCGCCTCAGCTCGGGCCACTGCTCCAGCGCCTTGTTGAGACACTCCATCATCCAGGCGCCCAGCCCTTTGCCTTGGTACTCCGGCAAAACGTAGACGTCGGTTAGGTAGCCGAAGGTTACGTAGTCGGTTATGAGGCGGGCGAAACCGACCATTTGCTGTTGCTTTTGCTGCTGCTGCTGGTGTGCGTTGTCGTTTTCTTGATAGGGGTTGTGTTAGTGAGTGTGGCTTTTGTGTGTGTACCTTATGCATGAGTGTGTGTTTGTGTGGGCTTCTGGAAGACCTTACCTTGTTCGCTATCTCCATTCTCTCTGACGTATAGCCCAAAGTTATACGAGTGCTCTACCATCCGCTTCAACGCTTCCTGTGGCAGGTCTCGCCCCCACCAGACGGTGTCGGAAGCCAGAGCCGCGTTGAGGGCGGCGAGGTCAACTAGGCTTGGGTCGGTCGAGTAGGTGTAGATCTCGTTACCGACCTCACGGGTCCAAGTGCGTATCTGGTCTTTGGGAGTCATCTTGTGTTTTGTCTGGATTGTGTTTTGGCCTCGTTGGCTTCGTCACGACAAGAATAGGCAATGTTGATTTTGGACCAGTTGCTCGAGTTCGAGGTCTCTTCCTATCAGAAGAGTATTCTCTTCTATTTATCTTTACAGTCCCTGGAAGGAGTCATAAAGACTCGAGTGTCTTGTATAGTGCCTGCCACGTCTGCTGTCGTTATCACTCTACGTACTAACTTCAAGTAGGGTATTATTGATGCAAATGACTCACTACAACGCCAGAAACGGCCTGGGCTTTCGGCTAGTGGGACCTGAACACTCGGGCCGAGCCTTTACATCAGCCCGAACGTATCAATATCACGAACCCCTGCTATTGACACCCCCTAATGTCAACAAACGACATATGTAAGTGTATATATGTGGTTTTGTTCGTGATCTGTTACTGCTGCTTCATTGTTGATGCCGAGTCTGAAATATGTCCAAGCGGTTGCTTCGCTCAGATACCACTTGATCCATTCGTTAAAACTCGAACAAAGGAGAGCATCGTGTCGTTATACCTTCGCCCCGTGGAACCAGCAACCGGCACATCTTTCTTTCTCGAGCAGAACCACCTTAACCTGGCGAGCCCTAAGCCTTGAGTTTTGCCCAGGCGGTACCTCAGCATTGAACGAATCGTCCTCTTGCCCAATCCTGGCCGCGGGTGACCGTGACCCCACGGTGTATTTGATGACTTGCATTCCCTCACGCCGCAAAAAGCCGCTCCAAGTCATGCAGTTCACCCTTTGCCACTTCCGTGTCGTCTGGCTCTAGATCTCCTCTTGGAAGGGCTCTCCCATCTTGAAGGTTCGGTATGGATTGTTCCGCCGTTGCGACTCGACGGGGATGGGACGGCCATGTATTTTCGAAGACACGACGAAGAGAAGGGTAGTGAAGATGAGGAGGAGTTGCCGGAGACCGTCTCCAGTTTATCACCTACTTCTATAGTTTCACTTCCGTGCCTTCCCATCAACGCCCCAGCCTGACCCCTCAACCTTCCATCCCAACTTTTATCCCACCACTCGGTCCCGAACCGTGTGATAACCCTTCAGCACAACCAATCATTCCCTCTACAGCAGTGTCAGAAGGTAGATATACTACTTCGACTGCGCCTAATTCCAAGACCTAGAGGACTGGACAAGCCGGGCCCCTGGGTCGGATGGTACAGCGGTTACGGTGTTGGACGATTGGGACCCGTTCAAGGGCTGCTGCTGTAACGCGTTCGATTCAGGGGTGAGTCTTCTATTCTTTCCATTTTTTTTCTCAATCCTTCCCTTTTATATGATCAACTGTGATTATGTATTGTGTGTGCCCAACGGGTAATGTGTTTGTTCTTATTTTGTTAGCAACACTTGATGGGGGGAATAGAATACTTGCTAAGAAGTGCACAGAGGTGAGCCAAAGGGGAACTCAAGCAAGGCCTTGGAGTTCCCGTTGACTTGTCGTTCGAGCCGGTAGCAGGCACACGTTTCACTTCACAGCCAGATTGGATGGATGGTGTTTGAAGGTCCGAGTGCGAAGTGATGGAAAGGGGAAACATATCATCGCCCAGAAGCTCACAATGAGTTGTACAAGATCTCTACGGGTAGTGAACCCGACGGTGTAGGACCTGCAGTGAAGTCATCGTCTCGAGCTGTCCTCCCGACAGACGATTGAGTTGTTGGGTTCCGTCAAATTGCACCAGTGGGCAGGCACATTCCCGCACTCACCAGAAGACGAGCGGCAAGTGCGAAGAGACAGCGAGCGTGAATGTTCCTTATCCGGTTGGACACACGTATGGCACTGCACGCACTGGGAAGGTACTCTTAAGGTGCTTTGTGAATTGTGAGATGGTCGTTCCTCCCTTCTACTGCAGTAGGAAATTTTCTTCTTGCTCTTCACAATTTTTCCTTGTCATAAACTCCTTGAGGTCATTCAGAGCTCCCACAGGTCAATTAGGTTCTGATCGATCTTTGATATCTGGGAGTCTTCTCTGGTTAGAGTGTTCTGATGAGGATCGATGTTTGTACCACATCCAGATCCTTGGACGCACTTTGTCTCGTCAGCTGAATGCATGTACCCTCTTTTCTGACGATATGTCCTTTTCTGCGTCTTTGGGGACCTGGTAGGCTAGGGTGACTACTTCTACCGCTTCGTCTCACAGAATTTGGTTTTACTCAAGCCAACCCTGTTACTGGATCGTTCCCAAGAAACCCTCGACCCGCATTAACTCAGCAGGAGATTGGTCGACGGCCTTGCTAGTTCCCCGCGCTATACCTAGTTGAGTGAAACCTAATCGAGTGAAATTTATTGAATCCTATCCAAACATTCAACAACAATCCAGACACCTTGACCTGACCGCATATCTCTCCTCCAAGCTTTTGCCATGATCGGACCGCAGGTATCCTTATTTCTTGTGAGGATGCTCAGGTAGTGATCTACACCTACCGTCGAACCTCGACCCTCATCGCACTACCAAAGCGGGGTCACCTGAATTTCATTTACCTACGACTCCCAGATCTCAAAGCTTTCGACTTTCAACCTAGCGGGCGCCCAGAGCCGGACTCTGGTCCGCCTACCCTTTGGCACCCGCGGACGATGGTCCGCCTACGCCCCTCCATACGGCTATATCCCTCGGGTCTACCGCGCCTCACACTAAGCCGCCACACGCGATTTGCGCTCCTCCTCATCTTGACAGCCGCCGTCATCGAAGTCTTCCTCCACACACAAAGCTGGGCCGTCCAACAACCCGACCACGAGCTCGACGAGCCCTTTTACACGTCATGTCAAGAACCCGCCATTGGCCAACCGCGCGAGAAGGCAGCGATGGTGATGCTGGTCCGCAACCAGGAGCTGATGAAGGCGCTCAAGACGGTACAGAGCATCGAGAAACACTTCAACCAGTGGTTTCACTACCCCATCGTGTTTCTGAACGATGAGCCGTTCAGCAAGGAGTTCATCAGCGTGATGAACACGACTGTGAGTGGGGAAGCGAGGTTCGAGCTCGTGCCGAAGAAGGACTGGCTGTTTCCCGAGTGGATGGATGTGGCGGATGCGAAGGCGGCTGTTAAAGCACAGGGGGAGGCGGGGATTTTGTATGCTGGGTTGGAAACTTATCATCATATGTGTCGGTTTTACTCTGGGTGAGTCTAGCCACGGTCCTCCGTTGCTTCCTCTGCGTTTTGCTAAGTTGCTAACCCCCATTTTGTTCCCCTTTGCAGCAAATTCTACACCCTCGAAGCACTCAAAGACTACAACTGGTACTGGCGAATCGAGCCAGACGTCGACTTTTACTGTTCGATTACCTACGACCCCTTCGTCGAAATGGCCAAGCACGACAAGGTGTACGGTTTCACCGTCGCTCTGCCAGAGGAACCGCGGACGTGCCCGAGCCTCTTCCGCAAGATAGCCGACTACAAGGAGTTGAACAACATCCCGACCACCGAGCTCTGGAAGGCCACGGTGGCTGCTTCGTGGATGCCATGGCCACTTCGTTCCTTCATGGGCTGGTTTCGGCACCGCGACCGCTCTGGCGACGGGTGGAGCTTGTGCCATTACTGGTCTAACTTTGAGATTGCCAACCTGGACTTTTTTCGGGGGAAGGAGTATCAGCGGTTGTTTGAGTATCTCGATAAGACTGGGGGGTTCTACTACGAGCGGGTACGTTGTTTCTCATTTTTTATCAGAACAGTCTTCAGGCCAAGTACTAACTCCTCTACGTCGTTCTCAGTGGGGTGACGCAGCCGTCCATTCTCTCGCTTTGCACACGCTTCTTCCCTCCCACAAAGTCCACCACTTCGAAGACTTTGGCTACCGCCACGATTGGTATTACCAGTGTCCAGCCAACGCACCAAATGGTCAACTGCTGGAGTCGAAGCTGCTCCCTGTTGGTCCATATAGCCCGGAACGTGAAGGCGGTATTGGGTGCCGGTGCGAGTGTGACGGGAGCAGGACTCGGAACTTTGCAGGGTATTGCACGAATAAGCTCAAAGAACCTAATACGGCCAGGCGTCTGGGTATGGTAGAGTCTGTTCGCAGCTGGTTCCCATGACGTCTTATAGATATAATGAGAACCTGAAGATGAAACCTTTTCTGAGCTGGCACATAGAGATGGGAAACTTGAGATAATTCAGCATTGGGCCGGTGTTTGGGAGAATGGTATAGGATAGTGTGTAGCGTCCATGGTTTCACTTCCTCCTAGAAATGCAAAAAAAAGACTATTAAGAATTACCACGTGAAATGTTTTAATACCGACACCGTTCTATGGCACCAAGCGCCTTTGGTCCCTTCACCGAACCCCTTTACCGAACCTTAGTCTAGTTCTTCCTAACCTCGACAAACACCAAACGCCGAATGAAGTGTTAACCGCACCATAACCCCCAAACCGGAACCTTACGATTACCCAGGGCTTGCCCATTATGACTCCATCTTCCCTTCCCCACCCCAGTCCCCTATTCACAAATCATCCTCCAAAAACCTCCTCACCAACAAATTAAACCTCGTATCTTTCTTCCTAATCACCTCAGGCGTCAACCACTTCAAATGCCTATCCCACGCCATCTGCCCCCAAGCATGATACGCCATCTGATTCTCAAACAGCCCCCCTCCATTCCTCGCAATCTGTCTCTCCCAATACTCCTTTTCCTCTTTCGTCTTCAAGGGGGTATGCATCCACTCGACGTGTCTCCATGTCCAAGTGGGCCAGAAGAAGGCGTCGGGAGGTAGGGCGCAGACATCTCCCTTCTTCGCCTCTTTTCCATCTTTCCCATCTTTCCCCCTTGCCTCCTCTCCTTTACCTCCCCTGCCGCCACCGCTTTCGTCGTTTCCTTCCTCGGCAAGTTCCTTCGGCAACAAAACACTCCGATAATTCCACGCCTCCTTCTCCAAGTCCACATCCTCATACGTATCCAACCACCTCTTGATAAACGTCGCGTTGGGGCGGGCGACAATCACCGCGTTGCATAGACCCCAGCGGTTGCCGCCTTCGTAGCCTAGGATTGTGTCTTTCCCATCTGCTGGTGCAGATAACAAAGAGGCAAAAGACCGAACAGCAAAAACGTCTATATCCAGGTATATCCCCCCCTGTTCCAACAGAATTTGTAGACGCAGCGTATCAGACATATGAGCATACTGCCCTTCCTCTGCTGGTGGCTGGTGGTGAACCAGCCTAAACTTCTCCGGCCACTTCTGCGCCAGTCTCCGGATCCAGGGGTTAGATAGCGGATCAGCGCCCGGATCAGGAGACGGAGGAGAAGAGAGGTAAGTGTAGTGGAGTTGGACGACGGTCGGCTGCAGAGAAACAAGAGCGGCGCGCAGGGCGAGGTAAGACAAAAAATCGAAGTGCCCGGCTGAGGGGTGGGAGTGCGGGTTGGAGAGGCCGTAGATGAAGTGGACTATGTTTGGGATTCCTCCTGGGTTGACTGTCCCTTCTGAGAAAGAGTGGGATGGATGGCCGTTGTTGTTTTCGTTTTCGTTGTCGTTGTCGTTGCCCCCGGACCTGGACCCGGGGAAGAAGGCATGGCCGCCGCCGCCATGACCGCGGAGACAGGCGAGCTCGGAGTCGGTGGGTGTGAAGGGTTGTTCGGTGGAGCGCTGGCCGGAGAAGGGATTCGTTTGGCGGATGTAATCACCGTAGTAGTAGAGGGTGGGGAAGAGGAGGTAGATGAGGACGAGGCCGGTTGTGATGGTTAGAAGACGCCGGGTGGTTTTTATTACCATGGTTTGAGCAAGGAGAGTACTCAAGTGAAGCCTTGACGAAGTGGTGGATTATGATTGGAGATCAACGGAAGAATAAAAGAATGGCATGAAGGTAACGGCTTGGACAGTTTGTGGAGTGGGTGTTGTGATCTGATGTTTCGTAACTGTCCTGTTAAGCTGGAGTGTCTTCGAAAGGGACGGAATGGATGATGTGAACTTGAGGGGGAAGTGATGAGAGGGAAACAGACCCCCGTTGCACAAACTTGAATAGTTCGCGTTTCCTCACACATGTTTTCCAATTCAGCCCGCGGTCAGAAAGAGCTTAGAGCTGAGGATCACGATTCCCGCCATTCTTAAATAAGCTAGTAGTTCCACCTGGCTCATTTCTGAGTACTGTCGATGTCTGTTCTGTGAAGTTTCGGATCAGGGCAGGTAGGAAGGAGTGGTTGTCGTACGTATAACGCGGCTTCCCACACAGCTTGAAACCCGCCTTACCCAAGAGACAGTGTGAGGTATATCCACTCCATATCAACTGTTTGCCATGGCGGATTGTAGGATGAAAATTCACAAGACAGGATGTTTGATCACATCGAGAGTGATGTTGTTTGGGAATACATCCAACTTTCCGTTTACGTACTTGGGACGTTCCACTATAAGCTGCCCTGCTGCGCTATTGGACCCTGCAGTTGCTGCCCCTGAAGATGGTGGGGTTCCATCCTTCCACTGTATCCGCTGTGGGTGATTTACACCGTCCTGGTACTTGGACGATCATGCCTGTCAGTGATCGCGACCGCTACATCTCCTGCGCTCTTTCACTGCTGAACTTGCATCAACCTTCGACTCTCGCTGTGAGCTTCTCACGGCCGAATTGTAGCTCTAAATTGTGAGCAGTCTTGAATAGATGATTTTCAGCTTGCTGTATCAAAGAGAATTATCGCATGTATTGATCTGGGTTTCAGTCTTTACCTCTACTCATCCACCGTGGTGGTCTCACACCATGCAAACCAAGTGTCTGAATAGCTTCAAATCCTCACCTACTCGGGCACTGACCCCGTGGGGTTCACCGACCGACGACCCCTAGAAAAGACGTTTGTGGGTCTCGTCAGTCGTCACTGCACACAAGCTATGATCCGTCAGCTTGGGAACCAAAGGGAAACGGGCGTTCGGGCCGACAGGGCATTCCCTTGCTGACCTTGCAGCCAAAGATCAGATGGTGCTTTCGAATCGACATATCAAACATTGATGTCTTCTTCCATCAGCTTTCCCCGTGTTTATGGTCACCGTCTTTTGTGAGATCTTGTCCATCTTCCCGTTTCCTAGAGCATCCTCAACGGTACTCTCCCAAGTCACCCAAAATAGGATCGCCGGTCTTCGGACGCTCAGGTTGCCCTGGCTACGTAAGCGTCATACTCAGAAGCCCATTCCATTCCGCATCTGGATTCCGTACGGCGCGGGCTTGGGCTGACAACGTGGCAGCCGCCTACGGTTGTTCAGGTCAGCACTGAATACAGAACCCTGGCGACCATGAGAACCTCACAAGGCCTTGGCTATCCTTTTGTCGAGGGGTAACAACACATTGTTTCACCACCCGGTTTTCTGCAACTTTCCCGTTGCCGGTCAGGGAGCCGGTCGACTCAGCAAAAGGGCGGTAATGTTCCTTTCTCATCATGTGGTGAGGTAGCTTTTTTCACCATTGGAATCATCCACTTGGAGCCTAGGCCCACTGCCTGGTCTACCGCCAGCGGCTGCTGCTTGGTGAGACGCCCATTCCTGTCACTGTGAGGAGCTATTAGCGTTACCGGTTACCCTTATCAGCGGCAAAAAAACAAGCTCTCCTTTCTCATTTCAGCAGCACAGCACGTTCCTGGCTCAGGGCTGGCCGTTGCAACGAGAACCAAACCTGAAAGGAGAAGCTTGTGAGGTCCACGAATGTCGTAGCCCTGGTTGATTAGAAAAAGGTGGGTGTTTATTACGAGTCCAATAGTCCGCCGGTGCTCGAGCCCCCAACCTCGTGTGTTTTTGGTGTGTGGTGCCCGCCGCCCGACCTACCGTACCATTGTTGTTTTTCGTTTGCGACTCGCGACGACATACCTTACGACACCTCTCTCTCTCTCTCTCTCTCTCTTCTTCCTCTTCCCCTCTTCACCATCTGGCCTTTTTGTGAGAACAGCTTTTGTCTATCGTATCATTGCGAAAAGCATTTTGCTGCATTTTGCCCTGCTGTTGTATTATTGTACTGTGAGTCGAACCCCCCAGCTTGCGATATCTGGCGCATCGCATGTTGTCGCTTGCGCAAGGTTTGCGCGGGGATCTGTTTCGCGACATGATCCGCGACCACATTTGCGCTCGACGCTTGCTCTATCTCGTAGTCGCGCTCTCCCAACCGTAATAGTACGCTCATACGTCTGCCTTTTCAGTTTCCATATATACCTTAAATCACGACAACATGCCTCGCGAAGGTACTCGGTCGTCAACCGGCAACTCCAAGCCGCGCGTCTTCCCCGTCGTCGACACCGCGCCGGCGGTCAAGAGGACTACCAAGCCCAAGCCCGCAGCTGCTGAGGAGCCCAAGGCTGCGCCCGCGAAGGGCGCCAAGCCTACGGGCGTGACCAAGAAGGCCGCCCCGAAGAAGGAGAGCACTGTTGCGAAGAAGGCAAGCATTCTCCCCTGCTGGATTTATGATGGGTCATGTCCGGTCCTCTTGGGCTGTGTGCATGATCACTGTCCTGTGCAGCATCCCGATGTTAACTCAAGCTACAGGTCAAGGCTGTAGCGGACAAGGTCGAGAAGAAGGCTGGAAAGACGGCCGACAAGGCAGAGAAGAAGGCCGAGAAGGCGGCCGCGGAGCCAAAGGTACCGTTTCACCCACCTACCACCTCATTCTCCCACTGGCATCATTCACTTTGGCTAACAAATGGCACTGAAGGAGACCAAGCCCAAGGCTGCGCCCAAGAAGAAGGCTGCTGCTGCTCCTGCCGCTGCTCCTGCCGCTACTGCCGAGTAAACTGGATCACCGTCCGAATCGTCTGTCTCTCAGACAGAAGGCGGGAGGAGCTTGGCCCATGTCTGCTGTCACTTGTCATGTATTTCTTTGGTTGGATATCTCTGCCGGTTGATATTTGGAGTTTGTGAATCGTGCAATCCGGATGTTGGGTTATTCCGTCTTTTGTTTGGTCTGTCTGTTGGTGTCTCGTGAGTGTATGAAAGCGCAAATACCGAACGTGTTATCAAACTCTCGTGGCCTTTTCCCGTTTGAGTGACCATGGATCGTGGGACAAGTCTTGCCCAGTGAGGCCAATCGAGACCAGGCAAAGGTCATAGGGACATATCCTGGCGACAGGTCACAGCCTGGGATCTGCGCCGTGAAACGGTAAATGGTGCTGTGTGTACCTAGCCCATGTCTTGAAGCGGAGGAGGTGATGGTAGTGGTCTAGAATGAAGGCGCTCGTGATTGATATTATGAGGTTCAGCTGAGCTTGCAATGGTTTGTTCAAAGTTGAAACGGATGAGGAAATTCCAAAGAAGTTCTGACAGAAGGTTGATGGAAGGAAACAGAGCCCACAGGCCACAGCTGCATCTCCCTCCAGGGCAGGCAAGCCCGCCATCACGCAGATGCCGGGGGCAATACATGGGATCCCGGCTGGCTGCAATGTTACTGGGCCTGCCAAGACCTGAATATCTCAAGAGGAAGGCTCTTGCCGGGCGTCAAAACAACAGCGTCACAGCAGTGTCTCTGTGCCCTATTGTGCCTACCAATTGGCTGTTGCCAGGACTAGAACAACGTAACAACACCCCCAGACGGAGAGCAGGCCGACTGACGCGGCGCATCCATCGTTCGTCGCGCATCCCAATCCCTCCATTCCATTTCCCCTACCACCTCCAAAAAGTTGGCCGGCCGTTGTTGTCTTTGCCCGGACAACTTCCCTGGACTGACGGCGTCACACCCGACATGAATATACCGTATCGATTGACAGACCCGATCCAAAGATGCATCTTATCAAGCCTTCATGGCTAAGCCATAGTGGTGCGTTTGTCCTTGTCAGCTTCCGAAGCACGCCTCAGTTGCCATCATGTCCCCAAGCTGGCGGCAATCGCGAACCCACCACACCACAGTGTTATGTTTTGGTCATGGTCAAATCCCCAGCTAACCATTGTTTTGTGTTGATACCTAGGCGAACAAAAGGACTTCGAAGTTTACAGCTGCCACGTCTCTCCCGACGGCAAGAGACTGGCTACCGCCGGCGGAGATGGCCATGTCCGCGTCTGGTCCGTCGAGGCCATCTTCAACTCCCATGACAGAAACTACACGAAACCCCGGCAGCTCTGCCACATGAGCCACCATCTCGGAACTATCCACTCCGTTCGATTCTCCCCCAACGGCCGCTATCTCGCTTCCGGCGCCGACGACAAGATCATCTGCATCTACCATCTCGACAGCAACCCACCATCCCACACATCTACTTTTGGTACGGACAGACATGCTGGGACAGATACGCAGTAAAGGGCAGAGAGGCAGAGTGCTAACTAGGTTTCCAGGTACAAATGAGCCACCCCCAGTCGAGAACTGGAAGACGTATAAGCGACTGGTTGGCCACGACAACGATGTGCAAGACCTCGCCTGGTCCCCCGACAACTCGCTCCTCGTCTCAGTCGGTCTCGATTCCAAGATTGTTGTGTGGTCAGGGCATACCTTTGAGAAGCTCAAGACGCTGGCGGTACACCAGAGTCACGTCAAGGGCATTACGTTTGATCCGGCCAACAAGTTCTTTGCGACGGCAAGCGATGACAGGACCATTAAGATCTTCCGCTATACCGCGCCAGCGCCGAACGCGACCCAGCACGACATGGTCAACAACTTTATCCTGGAAACCTCGATTAGCGTCCCGTTTAAGCACTCGCCGCTGACGACATACTTTCGGAGATGTAGCTGGTCTCCCGACGGCAACCACATTGCCGCGGCCAATGCAGTCAATGGCCCCGTGAGCAGCATTGCCATTATAGAGCGTACCGGCTGGGACAGTGAAATCAACCTAATTGGACATGAAGCCCCTACTGAGGTCTGCATGTTTTCACCCCGCTTGTTTTACACACAAAAACCAGACGAAAACTCGAACTCGAATGGCGCTGCCGCCCCCGGCTTGGTGACGGTCATTGCGTCCGCTGGACAGGACAAAACACTGACCATCTGGAACACGAACACCTCTCGACCTGTCCTGATAATCCAGGACATAGCGTCCAAATCAGTCTCCGATCTCGCTTGGACCCCCGATGGTCAGACTGTCTTCGCCGCTAGTCTGGATGGTGGTGTAATCGCTGCCCAATTTGAGACGGGAGAGCTTGGATGGGTAGCAAAATCAGAAGAGAATGACAAAGCCCTGCAAAAGTATGGCGGATCCAGAAAGGGAATGGGGACCGCCGAAGACGTCGACGGTCTTCATCTTGAGAACCACAGCAAGGAGAAAGAATTACGAGGAGCCGAATCAAGAATGGGTGCCCTGATGGGGGATACAGGGCCTGTGCAAAAGGAAAGCACCACTACAACCAATGGGGTCAAACCGGCAGGAAAGACTGCCGACACAAACGGCACAGCAACCCCAGCTCCGCCAGAAAAGCCTGAGGAGGAAAGCGCCGACAAGACGGCCGAGCGAATTGCCGAGCTGAAATCGCGTGTTACGATCACGAAGGACGGCAAGAAGAGGGTTGCTCCTTTGCTTGTTTCATCGTCCGGAACAGGGTTATCATCCTTGCCACAGGCACAGCTTGTTGGTGCAAGCTCGACAAAACCGGTTCAAAGCGACACCCCCCAAACGATATTGGATCTCTCGAAGCCATATGACGGTCTACCTCGCGGCGGTATTGCGGCAATGCTACTGGGAAACAAGAGAAAAGCGGTTGTAGTGGAGGGAGAGGAGGAGGAGGAGCCTTCTGCCAAACGCTCAGCTACTGGTCCCGTCCCTATAGTAGTAAATGGGGTTGATGGTCTAGAGCCGGCGCCTCTTTCAGCACCTGCTCATGGTCTTGTGCCTACGCCCGAATTCCTCCGACCGGCCGTCATTAGCCCCAATATTGCCTACTCTCAGGTCAGATTGGCTGTCCCTAAGGTTCGATCGCACATTCTTCGGCCGCTGGAGAGGGGCGTTCTACAAGAGGAGACCAGCCTAGAAGACGCAACAAAGGTACCAGAGAACGTCATTCTGGAGGCGAAGAATCCTGCGCACATTCGTGAACCCGCGCGCATAACAGCCACCAAACGGGGAGCCTTGCTATGGCAGGATTTCTTACCCCGTGCCATTATCCTGGTCGCTGGAAGCAAGCATTCCTGGGCCGCGGCGTGTGAGGACGGGACGCTTCACACATGGAGCCCAGCAGGACGGAGGCTTATGAACGCCATCATGCTGGAGTCACAGCCCGTCATCCTTGAAGCGAGAGATTCGTGGTTGCTTTGCGTTACCGCGGTTGGCTTATGCCATGTTTACAACATCAAGACAATGTCGTCACCCCACCCACCTGTTTCTCTAGCCCCCATTCTCGACATTGCAATGACCTCGCTATCACCTCATGGCGCAACTCCAGCGCCTGGTGTGACGTCTGCTCATCTGAACAGTTCGGGTGTTATTGTTGTGACCTTGAGCAACGGAGACGGCTTTTACTATTCAACGAGCTTATATGCTTGGCAACGACTATCGGAATCATGGTGGGCCGTGGGCAGTCAGTACTGGAACAGCAACGATTCCTCGGTCAGCGCGCTACAGACGACAGCCGTGGGCCCAATTTCCGCAGCTAAGAACGGGGAAGGGGAAGCCAATGTCTCAGCCGGAATCATCCCGTACCTGGAACGTCATACCACGACTGAATTTTTGCTCAAAGGCCGGGCCTATACGCTTCAGCGCCTCGTCAAGGCCCTCCTGGCAAGAGACGGGTTTGAGAACTTCGAAAGCACCGTCAGCATTGCTCACCTTGAGAACCGCATTGCGGGTGCGCTGGCCTTGGGCGCACGGGAAGAGTTTAGGCTCTACCTGTTCATGTACGCCAAAAGGATCGGAGCCGAAAATCAGAAGACCAAGGTTGAGGAGCTACTGAATAGCTTAATTGGAGGCGTTTTGCAAGACGCAGATGATGGAGAGGGGTGGTTTAGCAAACAGGACAAGCTTTGCGGGTGGGACCGTAAGGACCTCCTACAGGGTGTTGTCCTTATCTTGGGTGAGTCTACCAGTGCTACTTCCTTCCAACGAGTGTTATACATGACTGTTCTAACTCGATAACAACAGGCAAATTCCGCGATCTCCACCGGTTGACTGTGCAATACGCCAGGATATTGGACATGACCTTGGGTGACGAGGAGAAGGAGACCACCGACGAGGGCATGGAGGTGGAGGACTAGGCGTCCAGCCTCGTGTCTGACTTGGTTGGGCCCTGCCCCTTGGTTGTGAAGCCCAAGCATACCAATGCCATCAGTTCTACCACCTTCCCGTCTGGTGGCACCAGAGTCGAAGATCAACAGAGGACCAAGACGCCCAGGAGTCCAAAGACCCCCTACAAAGGGACAGGACTCAAAGCAAAATATCCCATGGTCACCCGTTCCGCCTCAAAAACTAAGCGTTTCATCTAGCGGATGAAGGACCAAGTATCATCTTCGTGAGGACCAGCTCTATGCAATGGGTATGATACCACTTTTGAACCTGGAGAGGATCCTACATAGGCCTGTGCTGTGTGCACTTGAGCACAACAAGATTACTGCTTCGCGGCAAAAGCTGACGAAGCGGAGGACCGATGGGAATATGGACTACCCCGTACGAGGCTTCGTATATACCTATACCGTGGCCAGTTAACGCCCAACGCATTCTTCCCCCGTAATGAACAAGTGGCAGACATTCAAAGAAGGATTCGAGGCGGCAAAACTGCCTCTGCAAGCATCCTGTGACAAGAAAGCAAATCATCATTTTTACCTCTTCCGCCTGTCAGATTATCAAAAAGTTTAAATCTGTGTGGGGTTATCATTCGGAAGGCCTTTTCTACTACATTTCGGCGTTAACTGGAGGTTTCTCAAAGAGACAGCACTGTGATGACTATCATCAAACAAAATAGACAGCTTACGCGGGCATTGGTTTTACCAGTCATAATCTCGTGCTCTGCACATTCTTGTTGCTCAACTGATGACCACCTGGTGACATGTACAAAAACCACCGAAGGAAGGAATGGAGCTTTGTTGACACCGCCACAGACACAACATGCCTGCAATACAACACTGTCGTAGTATTACAGGATATATAAGGTTGTAACATCCCCTTAGCCACCCACCATTTTCCAGTTCCTCCCGTCACTCCATCCCGTCACACCACCACCCAAACGACTCACCGTCTCACCGTTCGTCCAACCCATCTCCAACAAACAAACCACAATCCGATCATGAAATACTTCACAATCTTGCTTCTTCTCCCCTTCCTAACCACCACCGGAGTCCACTCCTCCACCACCATCACCATCGACAGCCGTCAATCAACTACAGACCCAATAATAACCACCTTCCACTCCTTCGCCGACCCAGACTGTAACGACCAGGGCTGGTCAACGGGCTACACCCTCTCCCTCTCGCAGGCAACACGAGATTGTTTGGGGTTGTATGAGAGCCGGAGTCTAAGCGTGGGATTTCTGGACGCTAGATGCCAGGGTAAGTAAAAAGTCTTTTTCTTTTTTTTTTTCTTTTCTTTCCCCCCTTCGTCTCATCTCGTCTTGTTGATATCGCTGGGCTTTTTTGTTTTGGTGTGGCTCTTGTTAGGTAGGTGGTCTTGTGGACTTGCAGTGGGAGGTTTGGATTTCGGGATGGCATGGCGACGCTGGAGACAGAAGGGTCGAGGGGCTGGGGACGGGAAGCGGCTGGGCTGGGGGGAAAAGGGTATGGAAGGAGGAGGGAACATGTAAGGAGCTGCCGCCGGGGATGATGGGATGGGATGTGGTAGGAGGGGGGTGAAAGGGAGGGACGATACAAGAAGGGTGGAAAGACGAATGCTAACATTGATGATACTGATAGTGACGATCTATACAGAGCAGGGATGCAAAGATCCGGGAGTGGTGATGGGTGTTGGAGGATATTTTTCTGATGGGGAGAAAGGGTTGAAGGGGTATAGGGTTGATTGTCCTTGGTGGTAGGTAACTAACCGGGCGCCTGGGCGAATCTGGTAAGCTGCGGATGGATGGGGGGATGAGGGTGAGATGTCTGGGGTGATTTTCGCATTGGAGATTTGACGGGTGGAAGGAAGCAGGAGGGCCGGCTATGTGTTGACGATGAGAGGTTTGGTGTGTTGGGATGTATGCGGAATATGAGTACACGGTTCATGTGGAAAGAGTGAGGCAGCTTCGAGTTGATTCGCTCGTATTTGTTTGGGGGAAAGATGGTCGACGGACGTCGGATGTCTTGTCGGGCAGTGCCGTATCTGGACTCGAGATAGTTGATACGTATCCGGCTCATGATTTTTTACATTGTCATCAGAAGCTTTGCTATGAATGTAGTTGAAGGAGTTAGGAGTGACTATTGCTCATGGCACCCCGGTGGTTTTCCGGATCCCGGATCCGAAAGACCCATAAATCCCGGAAGTGGGTCCACAGGAGCGGCCCGGGTGGGTCTGTTCGATCTCTTCCATCATGGAGGTTCACTCTTCGATTTCCGGCAAGAAACATGTTCATGATCTTGTGAAGAAACACAGTTACGCCAGGTGCTTTGTCAACCATACCCAAACCTCAGCCCTGATGTCTGCGGGGTGTTTTTGGACATTCACTTGTCTGACTGACCATACAAACATCGAATTTCCAGTCATCAACGTTGTAAACGAGCGGTTATATTGAACGATCAGGCTCATTGACTTGTTCCACTTGCTCATGTTTATCGTCGGTGTCAAGACGGTTCAACAGTCACCTCGACCAGCAACCTTGAAATTGTGAAACCCGTCATTGCTGGGTGCGGCAACATTTAAGTTGAGTATGGAGCCCTTTTTGCTCTTGCAATGGGACCTCGAAAGATCACTCTCAATAAGTAACCCAAATAGCCCGACGAGGTCATGTAGAGAAATTGACAATACCTGAATAAAAGGAAAGGAAGTCTTGAGACGGCTTGAGGCCCAACACGACGGGACCTGAAGACTGAATCAGGGAATTTTGAGGGCTTACATATCTCTTCGCACAACGAACTTGGACGTATTCCTGCCTCTACCCTTCCATCCTCTATGGACTTCTTCGTCAAGCAAGTATGGCATCTCTTTTTTCTATCTTGCAGAGCTTGCGGTCAAACCAAAAGGGCTCGCCCATACATTCTTGACCAAGAGTGACTGACCTGCACCTCAACCAATCACCAAGTAGGGCCTCGCCACGCTGGTTAAGCTTTGCGCGATGTAACACCCCAGTTTCCCTTGATAAACGCCAAGTCACTTAGCCACCACATCAACGGCCCGAGTCTTGGCGTTTCGCACAGCAAGCCCTTTTGGGAAGTGGTGGTTGAAGCAGGGCCATGTTATCGGTCGTCAGGGCGGAAAGAACGTGTTCCGGTAACCTGGTCCCCGTTTTTCTGTAAAGTTCAGGATAAGCTCTATCGTGGACCTGTGAGTGAAGATTGTCCAAGATGACCCGAGAAATTAGTGAGGCCCATGGGATAGAGATAGTTTCGTATCTGTCTGGTCTGAAATAGGTCAGCTCTCTGAGGTGTTCAGCAAGGCGTCGGATGAGTCTTTGCGGGGAAACACCAAAAGGGGACACTGTACCTATCAGAAAATCCCATTGTTTGTTTTTCACGGCGGTGATAAGAAAAGGAAAAGATGTTCAAAGATGTGTGACACAGCCTGGTACGTACTGTTTCCTTCCTTGGACGGGCTGCGAAACGCCAAGCCAATAGTCACGATACCTGTCGACAGCCACACCATGGAAGCTGGCCATCGAATGGATGAGTTAGCCGAGCTAGAGCAAGGGACCAGAAACCTTATCCTTTCCCATGAGCTTTGTGACTCGAAAAGTCAAGGGACTGCGAATGGGAATTCACGAGTCTCGCTGAATGAAGGTTCAGCTGATGACTTTGAGTTCTCGCCTGGACTCGTCGTTGATTGAACGATGGCAATACGAAGAAAACAGCCACCTTATAAGGGCTAGACCATCGTTGAAGAGGTCTGTACCTTTTATGGGCTTGCGAGCTCCGAGACCCAACGTCCTGTCCCGATATCAGGGTATCACCACCAACAACCACCGGCATGAATGGCAGGATGTTTCCTTGCCTGGGTTGCGGCTGAAGCAATAGTGTATCAAGCCCTGACCTCCCATTGGGTCCAAATGACCAGGAAGCATGCGAACGGCTTGCCGTGTTTCTTTTCTTGGCTACAGAGTTCACAGATTCCGCCTCGTCCCATGCAAGAGAACCGACCAAAGCCAAGTTGGCTGAAGGAGAACGGCGGGACGACTCACTGCGGGCCTGATACCCCTCGAACTCGGTGCCACTTTTGGGTCGAATTCGATGCAGTGTGTCTGGCAGACCCTTGCCATGTCGACTTTCTTTTAAGTCAGGCCATCCGCGTGTGAGAAGGTCAGGCTCAGGTGGTCTCTTCTGAACCACGGCTCCTTTATTTCTTTTCGAGTCTCATTCCAAGGAACTCGACAACATACTGGTTCTGCTAGCATTGCAGAGCCTCGATTCAAAATGGCCTCATACGAGCCGAAACAACCGGCTGTTGCAACATCCACAGAATGGAAGCAGTCCTGGTCAGCACCCAAGGCCGCCCCGGGGAATGAGGAGCCATGGACTACCGAAACACCGATTTGGCATGTCGTTGTGAGAGGTTTCCAGATCTTCTTTGGCCTCATAATTGCCGGATTGGCCGGTGTTCTCATTCATGGTTATCTGATGGACGCTGTGGCGTTTGGTCTCGTTTGTGTAAGTCATATCTCCCTGGAGGGCCTTGATATCATCGACTGACATATTGCGAAGTCGCTATTTACCTGGATCATCTGCATCTGGTCCCTGGTCAGCGAAAAGATCCTGAGTGCTCGAAAAGCGTACAATATCTGGGCGACCTTGTCTTTGGATTTCTTCATGATCATCCTTTGGCTGGCCTCCATGGGTGCGAATGCGGCGAACCGGGCGGCCTTCACAGTTGATGTTAATGTCGAGGCATGTTATGACGATGGAAGCAGCATCAGCGCCAATCACTGCATCGTGAGCAAGCGTGAGCTTGTGAAGCGATTTGCCGTCGCTAGCAAGGGCGGCCTCGCCATGATGTCTGGTATTGCAGGTCTGAGTGCCCTTCAAATGTGAGTCTCAGGCAATGGATTTCCTGATGGATGATTGTTGCTGACTTGAGTTGGGACCAGGCTCCTCTTCGTCGCAACCTTTGCCTATAACGCGCACAAGTTCCGTCTGTACTATCAGGCCACTAAGGGACCCAAGACTACTCACAATGGGGCCTTGGAGATGAACGCACAGCACACGCCGATGCTCAGCGTCCAACAAGGAGGACCTGCACCTCCATCATACCCGCAGTACACCGATCAGCAGGCATACCAGCCGCAGGTCCCCGTACAACAGCCGGTAGAGCAGTATCAACCAACGCCTACAACGTCTCCGGCACCGGCACCGGCCCAGATGCCGACCCCATCCCCACAGCCATACCCATATGGACATGCCGAACAGCAATATCCGGGACAGCAGGCTCCCGCTCAGTATGCTCCGGCTCACCACCCTCCTCAGCAATATGCCGAGGCCCCAGGTCACACCCCGTCCCAAGGTCATACCCCAGCCCAGTACCCTCAAACCACCCAGTCTTACAACTCCAATATGCATGAGATGCCCAGTCACTCGCAAGGATATCCACAGCCTACATCATTCTCACAGTGAGACATGGTGACTGTGCGATGGTCGACTCGTGCTGAGGAATTTTCGTTAGGTATGGAGTCATAAGGCGTGTTGTTTTGGTTCATGTTTATTTTAGATATCCGGCAATGATGTGTAATGGGTCCAGGTTTTGATGCGTGCGAAAATGTCTTGTATCTTTGGCCGGTGCATAGCTGGAGATGGGTGACACGGGGAAGAATCCATCTTTAGCCATGAAACCATTTTGGGGTCAAGGATGGAGAAGTTGGGCATGTTGTGTAGCACCAGTTGGGGAGCCTGTTTCCACCATGATCCAGGGGATAATGATACCACTTTTCAATCTTGGATGATGACAGCTGCAGGGTGTGTTGACTAGCAGAAGCTGAGATGCGTGTAACGGTGCACAACCTCAAGTGTCGTCCTTCAGGTGTGTTCACAGACAGAAACTCTGGACCCATACGAGCTTGCTCCGTGTAGTTGATGAAGCTCATGCCTTTTCTTTTGAGTGGTTGGACTGAAGTTGCTTTTCCGAGATGATCAGGGGAAAGTGAAAATGTGCTTAGTAGAGCGAACATCTGATGCGCTACAGAAGGTTACTCGGAACCTCGATGTGCCGGCGCCGAATTCGGACCCAACCACCGACAAGGCAATTGCTGAAAACTGCCTCGGTCCCTTGCTTCCATACCATACCTCTAGTTGAGCAAAAGGCAGGTACGGCCGCACCAAGTAGGTAGCAAGATTGTGTGTCATAATTTGCCCTTGCTGCTCTGAAAGCTTGGAAGGTACTACTACCAACTTAAGATTCTCAAGGTGGGGCCACAGATGTCGTGCTTCACGAGGGAGCTGCCCGAAGGGTAGCTACGACTGTCATCTGGATGGGGAAGCGACACTCCAGTCACCATGGCGGCCAGTTTGGGCTGGTTTCGTTCATGTGTCTTTTTCAAATGATGTCAAGCAGTGACGATTGAGGAAGACAGGTCTGTTCAACCAGTCGCGACCAAGTGACACTTTAGACATATGCAACGCACGCGGTTGGGACCGAACGGTGGGTGCACGGTGGTCACAACACCAAGTCCAACGGGTTTGGACTTGTTCGAGGAAGGTATCACAGTACCTGTTATCTTCAGAGTCAACAAACAATCTTGAGTGTCGAGTGTCCACATCAGTATGGGCGTCAGAACAGCATGGCCCTTTCCATATCTCCGTCTCCCAGATGGAAACCACAAGCGTGGTACTTTGGAGGTGCCATTCTTGCATGTGCCATTTCACTGACACCTCTCCTTCCTGCCCCCAGGAGAACCACAAAGGTGCCTCCTCGAACCATGCCAGAGAGATGGCCAAGGCGGGAAGGACCTATTGAATTGACCCAGGAAAGAATGGAGGTCTGACGGGTGATACCTGGCAGACTGGCTTCAGTTCCCGGGTACCCGAATGACGGACATCCGTGGTTGCCCAGTCCAACCACAAGATCAACAACATCCGAATCCAAGGATACACGGCAATGAACAAGTCAAAGCCCGTCACGTCGACTCGGCTCCAAGTTTTCCACTTAAACCCGGCCTTCCGTCCCCTCGGTCCCCCCCAGATCTTCTTCTCCGTCTCGTACAAGATCAGCTTCAGGAACTTCTTACCTTTTGCTTACGATATTCTCATCTCCAACATCACTTTTGCCAGACACTTCCATCGCATTCTCCCCCATCCAGGACTGCTGCCATCGTCACGGCATCTCCTTAGCCGCTTCCATTCTCGCCTTCTGTTTTCTGGATACCCCCCACCATCATCCAGTGAAGAGAACCCCCAGCACGTGCCAGCCCATCACGCCAAGATGAAGCCATATCAGGCCCTCTCTCTTCTTGCCTGCGTGGCCCCGGCCGCTGCCCAGGGTGTCACGGCCAAGATCGCCCCCGAAGCCAAGGCCCCCGCGGGATTGCCCCGAGTTTTGATGGCAAGTTTGAGATATCAATCTTGGAGCTCGGCAACCCGACCAAGAGAAGCGAGGTAAGCGTTGAGTGTCCAGACCCCGGTGATCAAGATTGATCGGCTGACAAGACGCTGGTACAGCAGCAGGCCCGCCAGTGCCATGGCGAAGGCACTCTCGTTTCCCAGCTTGTGGATGGTGTGTTGACTGACGCCCACGGAGGGACCGGATACATTGCCTCGAATTTCCAGTTCCAGTTTGACGGCCCTCCTCAGGCCGGTGCCATCTACACGGCTGGCTTCTCGGTGTGCAACAATAGCTCTTTGGCGTTCGGCGGGTCCACTGTCTTCTACCAGTGCCGCTCTGGTGACTTCCAAAACCTTTATGACCGCTGGTGGGCTGAGCAGTGCAGTCCCGCAGAGATCTTGGTGATCCCTTGCGGTGACAGCCACCAGGACGCTGCAATCAACGGGGTCGTCGTCGGGACCACAGTCCTACCCACGACAGTGATTATCCCACAGAGTGATGGAGAGGGGAAGGCTGTTGTTACCACGGCAGCTGTTCCGCTGTGCTCGGTTGGCCAGATCGGAGATGGTATGTCGTTCCCTCTCCCTCCCCACCCATTATTTGTTAGACGTTGGGACTGACACTGCCAATGTAGGGCAAATCCAAGGACACCCGACCCTCTGTTCCGAATTTGAGTTCCCCACGCCACAAACGGACCTGGTACCTGTATCTGAATACGCCGATGGTCAGATCCAGGTGACACCTCCTGCCCCGGGTACACCTGGGAAGCCCTCCAAGTCGCAACCCACGCCCTCTAACTCGGTTCCCAACATCTTCCTGACGACTACTCCTGCTTCCGGATCCCCGCCGGCTCAGACGACCGTGGTTCCTCCCGGGGGCGTTGTCGTTGTCAGCTTTTCCAAGCCGCCCAAGCCCAGCGTCGTGGTCACCAACGATGCCGGCCGCCGCTGGCTGTCTAGCATCAACGGATACATGGGTATTGTGATGGGCGTTGTCGGTGGCATCCGGTTCATCTGAGCATAGGTCCCGGCAGAGTGAGCTATTGGGTTAGGGGTTGATAGTTAGTGTTGATGTGGAGGGTGTGTGTTGATTTCGGCCAACAAGGTTATTGATTTGCATTGATTTGGGCAACGGTACTATTGTGCTTTCACGAATGGCTCCCAAAGACCATGCATCTGCGACAGCAGTGGGTGCACACCAACGGACTGTTCGGGGGAGTTTTTGGAGTCTCGGGGTATAGAGCGATAAAATGAGGAAGTGTATGGATGATAGGGAGACGCGTGACACCAGTGGTTGCGACGTCGTGGTTAGTAATGACGGTGACGGATGAAATAAGCGAGCACATTTAACAGGTTTTGGGCCCAACATTGTCGTTTCTCGATCTCGTGATGCCGAGTGAAGTTGGTGATACGTAGAGTCCAGTACTGGTTTGTTTGTTAGCTCGAGACCTCGGGTCAACTTCCCTAGGCGTTTTCATTGTCCCATTGATTCGTTTCGTTCTATAACCAAAGCGTAATCTTACCTTGAATATGCTATTTCAGAAACTCAATATGTCACATTGAATCTTGTTAATCCCTTTCCGATCCGTACCTAGCCATTCATTTTATCTTTGTGAGGTTTGGGACAATTCGGGATAGATCTCGTCCAGTATATTAGGAGTACCAAGCTAACAAATAAACCAGCATTAGATTGTACTTGACTTCAGGTGAGAGTTTCCCGATTCAGGTTGACATGCTGTAAGTCTAGGCCTTGAAGCCCTGAGCCAATTGGGTCACAGCGTTCAAGCCCAGGTCCAAGCTGCCTGCCAGCTGCACTGGAGTTGCAGGACCCACCCAATTTTCAGTGGACGTTAACGTCACGGCTGCTTGGCACTGCAATGGGATCCTCGCCGTCGCGTCAACCTTCCATACAGCGCGGAACTGAAGGCAACCTTTCACTTCTTCGCACAACAAATCGCCGTCATTGAACATCACTCAACGAGGCGCGCAATAACCTTCGAAACACGTTGTCAAATCTACGACAAGCACGCGACTCGAAACCATTCGTGGCAGCTGCCCCTTTCTTCGCACGACGATCCATCACTTCAAGCACCCGTCCAACATTGCGCTCTAGTCTCTGGAACCGACTATCTATCAAGCCACTGCCTAGTTGCCGCAATCCTCCAACCATGGCCGAATACTGGAAATCCACGCCCAAATACTGGTGCAAACACTGCTCCGTCTTCGTCCGCGACACCCCTCTCGAGCGCAGAAACCACGAGTCGACCGCCAAGCACCAAGGCGCCATCAAGCGCTCCCTCCGCGATCTACACCGGTCCGCGGACCAACAGGAACGAGAAAAGGAACGAGCGAGGAGGGAGGTTGAGCGGTTGAATGGGGTTGTTTCTGGTTCTGGGGGCAGTGGGAGCAGCAGTGCTGGACAAAGAGGAGGACACAAATCTGGTGGTGGTGGTGGTGGAGCGAACAGTGGTCCGACGGGAGCCAATGCTTCTGAAGTTGGGTTGAGTGAAGCGGAAAGACAGAGGCAGCTGGAGCAGCTGGCTGAGTTGGGGGTGAATATCCCGACGGAGCTGAGGGGGAGTATGGCGTTGGCGGGGGAGTGGGAGGTTACTAATGTTAGGGTGGTTAATGAGGATGACAGTCACACTTCTGCAACCGCAGCCGCAGCCACGGGTCAGGGTGTGATCCCCGTGGGTGCGGAGGGGAGGGCGGTAGGTGTAAAGAGGGAGAGGGAACGGACGGAAGAGGAAAAGGAGCAGGAGGAGGCGATCAAGGGACTGTTTAAACGGCCGAGGAAGTGGGGCGTGGGGAGCAAGGTGGCGAAGGTGGAGGAGGATAAGGAGTTGGAGGAGTTGTTGAGTGGGGGGATTCCACTCAAGAAGGAGGAGAAGATCAAGACTGAGGAGGGAGAGGAGGTCAACAAGGAAGATGATGGCGAAAAGGGCGGGGAGGAGAGCGTCAAGAAGGTGAAGGAGGAGGACGGTGGAGAGGTGGTTAAGAAAGAAGATGATGCAGATGCGGAGGAGAGTGGTGGTATTCCCAAGGGTCCGGCTATCAAGAGCGAACCTAGTGAGGGTGTGTCGGGGATTGCTGATGAGGTTGCCGCTCCACTTGCAACGGGCGAGTCTGATGCCGCGGCTGGGGCTGTGGACGCGGTTCCCGCTGTGGTGTTTAAGAAGCGGAAACCAAAGAATGTGCGGCAGAAGTAGTGGGCGTGTTGTTGTGCTGGGAAATGTTCTGGACCTTCCTTGTTCTATTTCTAATGATACCCTTTTACTATCCAGTGGAGATCACTTTAGTTTGTGGCCGAACTAACATTGACCTTGGAAGTATGTTTTTGGCCGAGGTGATCAACGTGCTGACCAACATCGCCGACCTACATTCAGATGGTACAAGAGGTTATAACGCCCAGTATCCCCGTCCAGCCAAACATCCCCAAACATTACACAGCACTTACCGCCCAGTCCCTCAGACGCAAGAACATCAAACCAAGAAATGAACAGCTTCCCTTGCTGATTGTCTCGCGGCACAGATTCCAGACCCGCGTCATATCTGATGAATTTATTCTTTGTTGTTCAATGTCAATGTCTCAACAGACAACACAATGGATACCAGCGAACCAGTTACCCGCAGTACCCGGCAAGAGCGGACAAGGCTCACAAGTCACAAAGGAACTTGAAACCGGAGAAGCACACAAACTCGCCCGGACAATGCGCTTGTTCTTATCTTCTCATGAACAGCTCTGAACAGCTCTGAGCAACTCTTGAAGTTGCATGGCTACCAAAGGACATTGGCAAGCTTTATTTCAAAGGATATAAAAAGCAACAAGGTTCCAAGTAGGACATCGACCTTCTAGTGAAGTCCATCAAGTCAAAACGCATTAGACTTAGTTTCCAGTCTTGCTCACTCACCTCGGTCAACTGACGCAGCTCACCTTACAACTCAAAACATCACTACTACCGCTACCGCTACCGCTACCACAGCCATGCCATCCCCCTCGGCTGCCTCCTTTAACCCATCCGATCCATCCAACTTCTCTACCCCTCTCAGCCCACCGGTCACCAGCCCTCCCAGCCTTTCCAGCCCTTCCTCCCCAACAACCCTCCCCTCCATCACCCACTCCCTCCTCCAAACCACCTTCTCTCTCAAGCGCGACTTTCGCTTCCTCAAACTGACCGCATCCTCGTCCTCTTTTTCCTCCTCTTCCTGCTCACTCGAAATCGCACTTGATGAATCCGAAACCCACAAACTCCTCCAAACCTCCCTCACCCGTCTCAACTCAGCTACCAAATCCTTCATCCGCGACGCCAATGTTTTGTTGGATGAGGAGGTTAATAAGTCTTTTGAACATGCTTATTTGCGCCGCTCCTCGGATTTGAAAGAAGAAGAAAGAGAAGAAGGAGAAGAAGAAGAAGAAGGGCATAATGTTCTAGACATGACTGTCGAGGAAAAGAAAACAAGAAAAGAGCTGAGGAGGTTGCTTGGGGTTGTGGAGGAGTTGAGGGGGGTGTGGAGGAGGAGGGCTGGGAGGTATTTGTTGGGATATAGAGGCTCGGGAGGAAGACATGGAGGAGGAAAGGATAGAGAGGAGGAGGGTAAAAATGATAGGGAGGTGAACGGGGAGGTGCACGGCGGGAAGGTGGAAGATTTGGTGGTGGTGGGGAGGTTCATGATTGGGGATGATGGAGATAGAAAGGGAGAGGGTGATGGGGAGGGTGATGAGGGTAAACGGGGGAAGGAAAGGGAAGATGAGGAGATCAAGGTGGGATTAGAGAGGTTAGCTGAACGGCTGGGGATTGGGAAGAGGGAGGAGGGACGTGTTCACCGGCTTTGATGTGGTAGGTTGTGGATGGGAAGTTGTGTAGGGGGTGGGTGAGTAGGAAGCGGGTTTTTGGTCAGCGAGTTGGTCGTATAGAATCGTGCTGTTAGCGCTTGGGTAATCAAAGTGTGTTTTCTTGACTTCTGCTGACATTCGTGCTCGGGACATTGTAGTATTTGCTCCCTCTTGATCACGATCCAAATCTGGTCAAGAGTATCGATCCAAAACGTCAAATTCTACATTTGACGACAACAGTGTCGTCGACTGCAATAACACTTTCACAGTCGTTGTCATGACAGGGGTAGCTCTTGGCATTGGTCCCCTTTCCCACCTCCCCATCACCAACCATGATGCTCATCATCGGAGTTGCATCGACTGACGACCATCCGTTTCCATTTTACCAACTGAGAAATTATTGAGGCCGAAAGGTACATCCGGCTGGGTACCCATTCGTGTCTATGACGCTTTGCGCGGTCATTGAAGGGCCGTTCAACGATGGTCCCGATGCTCCGGTGATTTGCGTCCGAGTGGATGACGTTTAGAGTGGATCCCACCCCCCTCGACTCCTCGATAGTGATATAAGTGATATCCCCGCGATGAAAGACAGCAGCAAACTGAAAGGAGATCGAACAAACAAACTCACTCAAACAAAATCTCCAGAACAAATCTAGAACCAAACTTCTGACGAAACATTCCGAGTTTCAACTCAACCGCCGCCGACCGACAAGTCCAGACCACTTATCAAATACAAACGCACAGACACATCACACCCCCCTCTTAAACTCTTCCATCCATCATTATCATCACCATCATGTCTTACGCCGGAAACTCCAAAGTTGGCTTCCCCAACATTTACGAGGATGGCGACCAGCGCCACATTCCCCATGCCTCCGTCGATGAACTCGCTCAGCACAGCGGAAAGAACGTAAAGGCCTACCGCCCTCGTATGTCTCTCTGTCTCTCTCAGCACTAACCAAGCAAGCAGGCGTGTGCTGTACCTTGTGCAATGCCATACTGACTCCCATGATACTATGACAGAGGACCAATTCGCCGCGATCAACGAGCATGTCATAGAGGAGACGCAAAAAAAGTTGGAAGAAAAAATCAAGATGGATCCCACACGTGCTGTGAGTTTGACCACCCACACACCACCCACTCTGTGACTCCGTCTCGTGTCTTGTTTTTCTTTTCTCCTCCCCCGCGTTTGTCCACAGGAAATCTTCAGTCCAGTTCTCAACTCTCAGAACAGGATGACTGACTGACATCATGTCCTACTCCAACAGGCGGAATTGCACGGCTTCAAGCCCAGCAAAGGTGCTCGCATTGACAAGGAGTTGGCGGAGGAGGATGCGGCGGAGTTGAGGAAGAAGGAGCAGAAGCTCAAGCAAGGAATTGCTGGAGCGACCCATTTTAAAAATAAGAAACACCATAAACTGGAGGCTGAGGAATGAAAGGAAGAATGAAAGCAATGACGGCGAACACCAGATTCTACCGTTTGAGTAATGTACGATATCATGATGAGATGAGGGGAATGGGTATGGACGTCACATGAGATGATAGGAATGCACGAATTCATGGATGAATCAACCTACTTTTGATGAGCAACTGCCATCTGTTCAATTTCCATCCTCTTTCCATTGGATGGTCTAGTTGCCGAGGTTGTCAGAGGGAAGTTGTTCTTGTTCCAGTTGCCCCTAGAGCCGTTTGTCCTGGACTCGTTCTGGAAAGAGAATCAGGAAAGAGACTGTCCCATACCATAGCATGTGAAAGAACACTGGAGGAAAGACTGCGGTTGAGTTAGCTCAGAAATGCAATCTCGACAGGAAGATCATCACGCTAGGAGATCATTTGTTTCAGAAGAGTGGCCGTGGAAAATGAGAGCCCTGGATCCGTACACAGAATTTGGAAAGACCTAGTCTTGGGAATGTGTGGTGACTTACCATACCGCTAAACCGTTGCTTCCAGTTCCCTTTTCTTCCGGCCACCTTTGGTTGCGCCTTCCTCATGTCGTGAAATGACATTTCCACTCGACATGATTGGGCCTGCGATATATACTTCTAGAGCAGGAGCACACTTTTCAGATCTGGCATGTTAAAAGTGCAGCAGCACACGCGTCAGATCGCTTGCATCCGCCGTGTGCTTGTCGTTTCTGGGACACAACATTGCGAATTCGAGCAAGCTATGGAAGGAACACGACGGCTGGCAAGATCCCGCGATCTTGACAGCCATGTATGGATTGCCACGGCAGTGAGGACAGATTGTACTAAGGAAACAGCCTTGGCTTCCACGCAGCTGTGAGACTTCCCCGTGGTTACGCCTCGACATTCGGGATACTGCGCCTATCCGGCCAATCAGGCATAATGAACGCTTACAGATGAGCAAACACTGGTTTTCACTTGAAAACCCAGCGGAGGACGCCAAAGCGCAAGAAATGGATATCAGACCTTGCTGATATACTTGCTTGAAGTTGCTGTTTCTAGTATACATTGGAGCCAGCAGCACCACACCATGAAGGGTTTGGACATCTACACCACCTAAGTTTATGTTTCCAAGGTTCTTATGTCAAGGAAGCCTATTCCAACTGCCAGTCGGAGTCGTAACCTGTGAGGAAGAGGTAACAAGTGCCAAGAACGTACGTCTACAACTTCAGAAACATGAAGAAGTAGTAAGAATGACTTGTATTGGTATTGCTCCGTAGATGTCCGATCTGGCATACGCTATCAATCCGGTGATGGTAAACAAAGATGACGTCTCCCACCAATAAAAGGAAAAATCCAGAGAATAACGCCAAACATGGTGTGATATGCAGTGATGCTGGAAGGAAATATGCTTGGCTCAAGCAGTCATCATCCCAAGGAACCACTTCTCGTGGGCACGGGGGTCGAGACTGTTAAGCCACTTGACAGAGCCTTGGGCAGTTGCTTGCGCAACCCTGTCGTAGTTTTGCTGGCAGGTCATCAGCCGAAGAACGGCCTCCTCCCAAAGGTCGATGTTCTGCTCCGGGACGATATAGTCACCATTTTCGTGCTTGGCGCCGGTGACAACGTTCACAGGGAGACAGTACGGCAAGTCGATCTTGGCTTCCTTGAGTCCGCCGGCATTGGAAGCGATGACGGGGATGCCACGAAGCTGGGCCTCAGTCACGACAACTCCCCACGCCTCGAGCCAGACAGAAGGTGCAAGCAGGACCTTGATGCGGTCCCAAATCTCATCCGTATTGCTGGTGGTGGGCATGACCCTTGATTCAAAGTGGAAGGTAAGCGTTGGGTTGCACTCGGGGACAGGAGAATATGGACTTACTTCATGTTGGGAAGTTCCTTGAGTTGATTAAGGTGCTTGCCTCGAGAGCCCCAGCTGCTCCAAGTGACAAACTGAATCTGCGGAAGTCTTTTGGCGAGCTCAACGAGGATGGAGAGGCCTTTGTGAGGGCAGGGGTTAACCATGCCGACCTCGAACTTGTCAATGTTGTACCGCTGAACAGGCATGCCTCCGGTGCGAGCATCGAGGTAGGTGAGGGGGCTGTGAACAAGGAACGTCGTCTTGAGTCTTCCGTACTGCCAAGCATAGTCTCCGATGGCCTTCGAGACCACCCAAATTCCTTCAAGCTCTCTAAGCAGTTGGTCCTCGACCTCAGGGGACGAGCAATGACCCAAAATGCCGTTGCAATACGGGCCGAAAGGCAGCTGTTCAGCAGTGTGAATGACATTGATTCTTTTGAACGTGGGCCGCATGTCGTGGTCAGCCGTGACTTTCATCGTGACGGGATCGTTGAAGACGACGTGAGTAGGACGGTACGCAGTGATATGCTCGGAGAAGATGTCGATCAAGGTCTGCATGCGCTGAGTAATGGAGCGGCCCTGGAAAACAGATGTTAGTACTCGATTTTGATGTATGGAGGATGGGGGAAAGGTACCTCAAGGTAATCTTTGGTGTCCTGCCAGAATTCCCTAGTGGGGTAAGCTTCATTGAAGGGGACGCGAGAAATGACAATATTGTGAATGCCATGCTCATCCATGAATGTCTTGACATCAAGTTCGTGCTGGTTACCCTTGGAGTCGATGACTGGCAAAGCCGAATGGTTGGTCACGTTGGGCTCAACGCCTTTGGCCCTGGCCACCTCGGCGTACTTTTCGACCTCGTCTTCAAAGCCGTAGCAGATCTGAGCGGCGTCATGGCCGAACAGGCGCAACTGGCGAAGGAGATTGACGTTGGCCTTGTAACCTCCTGAGGACGGAGTGAGACCTTGCGCAGTCTGAACCAAAAAGACGCGCATCTTGGTTGTCAGAATGCCGTTAGATCCCCCGCGGGGTCCGTAAGGAGCGTCGGTAGAGATGGTCATGGTGACCGCTGAGTTGGTGAGGGACAAGAAGAAAAAGGAACGAACAACTTGAAAAGTCAAGTCAGCTCAAAAAAGAAGAGAAGTCGAGTCTCGCAACCTAGTCAAAATGGCGAAGAAAGCTGTGAGGTCTCTATGGTGCTGGAGAGGAAAGGAAGATGTGAGAGAGGAGGACGGGGAGGAGGGGGAAGAGGGGAAGAAGGGTTTTGTTCAAGGTGTGGGCTTTAAGAGGGAAACTGGAAGGTACGATATCAGAACTTTACCCGTCGTCCCAAGTGCGAAACTGCGAAGTGCCTTCCTTTGCCCCACAACTTCAATACCAGGGACGGGATCAGTCAAAGAAAATCCCCCTACTTATCATCTTATGAGATAACGTTGAGCCTCATCTGAACTCAGTCACGCGCCAGTCCTTCAAGCGTTTCAGTCGAAATTACAGCGGTGGGAGTTCGGGCTACCTGGCAGCTTTCTTGATGGGATGACGAAATGCGCACTTTGTATCTTGGATGCATACAGACCCCAAGGTGGATTTCGGCCAGAAAGACGAAAAAGCCTGTGCAGGGGAATACAAACAGTCCGTTCAACCCTACAACGGGCACAATCGACAGCAAGAGGCATGAGGTATCTGACGAGGCAGCTTGAAAACTAGTCTAGACGGGAGGTGGTAGGTAGGCCATCTTGGCCGATAAGTACGTCAGATACAGTCGTGCGAAAGTGAGAAAGCTCCACGGAAGTTGAGAGACAGTGAGGCTACATGTACTCAGACGTAGCAGGTTCACGGTACTTTCAGTTTCTGCCGCTCGAAAGCGGTTTGTTGCTTGCAGCGCAAAGTCCAAACACTTGCAGGAACAACTTCTTTGAAGATGGGTGTGACGAACAAGCTGCAACCACAAGCGTGGGTTGCCAGCGCGTGGGATCATGTTGGGTCGGGTCGTGCTGGCCGTGTGCAAGCTTCAAATTGCCGTGGCCCGATATTGAGAGTCCCACCATACAGGTCCTCAACGGAAGGCGCCCATGTGTAGACGGGAGTTGCTTGTGGAACTGTGAGAAAAAAAGACATGGGGCATTGCAGTAGCTTCACGGAAGTTACCCGCCAAGTGTATGGCGAGAGCAACCTCAAGGCTGATAAGAGCACCCAGGGCATGAGCGGTACCCTTCATGATGCAGATAGGCCTGTCGTCATGAGCGTGAAGTGCAGCTCAACTCTGAATCAGAGCTCAGAGCACAGCATACACCAGAAGGACGGGGAAGCATCCGTTGTGCGAGTTTGAGTCGGGTGTAACACGAACATTGCAGTCAGTACGTCGCGACTTCTAGTTCGTACGTTGCCTTACACAGTAAGGTATTGTAAACGGTATCTCTGCCTTGGGCAAACCGAGCGGGAACCACCCAATCATGAGGCTAAATGGGTGAAGTTGCGACACAGGCGACTTCCTTCCCTTTCTGTTGCCACGCCCGCAGCAAAGCGTCGGCAGCCGACGAGGCAATCGAGACTTTCTGGAACAGGCAACAGCTCAGGCTACCAAGCTACCGCTGTGCGCTTGGTTGTGCGACTTGCACAACTTAATCTTTAAATGAACAAGAAAGCTGGTCGGGAGACCATCAGAGGAAAGTCAGCCCTGCCCTGGCCATCCAAGTAAATGGCCCAGCTCCGTCCTGGTTGATCTGGCGCATTGTCATATTGCACTCACTGCCGGCCGACACGCGCGGTGCTAGCCGAGCTCTCTCCCATCTCCAACCGGGTCGCGATCGGAAGCCCATCACCAATGTTTTCCCAGCTGTCGGTCCTCCATATGTAAGCCGTCCACTCGCCCAGTCCGTCGAGCATTGCGTCCACAACATCCTTTCGAAGCCAGAAGCTTACAGTCTGTGTGTCAGCCGTGTAACGGAATGTCGAAACGTCGTGGATGTCTTGGTAACGAATAGCCTGTGTTGCCGCCGACGCGTCGCCTACTTCCTCGTCCAACAAGAGCGACCGCAGCTGCCGCGGCGACTTGCCCTGCTTAACATCCCAAAAGACGAGCATGAGCCGAGGTTCGCGCAACATGTCGCCCCGACACCTCGACATCTTGATGCGATCATTGCGGATGCCGTCCACAGCGACTACCACTTCGCTCGAAACGGAAACTCCATACGATAAGAGAGGGCGCCACAGGGCCACCATAGTGGTAAACTCCGCTCTCCACGGCATGACGTCCACTTCCTCGCGGGATAGGCCCTCATCACCTCTTGCGGTGGCATCACTTCCCGACCTTGGCGCACGTGTTTTTGTGGTGATGATACCGTCGCAAATAGCACCAAGAACTTCGGAGGTGAATGAACCGGATAGCCAACCTCGTGCATTTGAGCAATCAAATGAAAAAAACAGTCAAACTGAAGGGCTCTTGGCCGAAAGCGCCGCCTTCAAGGGAGGTGTCGAGGATAGGGAAGACATATCTTCAATGACCATGTGTATAGTCATCTGTGAAGCTGGCTACGCGTCACGAGCTTCCCCCAGGGCGGTCTTTCAACAGACTGGAGCTCCCAGGCAGCATACGAGTCCTCAAAAATTCGTGGAGGACGCCAACGTTGAGATAGAAGTGATTGGAGATCATGGTTTCAGATGGCATAAGGGCATTCCCAGCCTGAAAGCGCACGTGTTGAGCGACTTCGAAGCGCACATCTGAGTTGGGTGCTCTCTTCATCGTGTCATTTTCTCAGGCAAATCAGGGCCCGGAGAGCGTTGACCGGCGGGGAGTTTGGGCAGATGCTGTCAGAGGCCAGAGGATCCACTGGGCGTACACGTGCCCAACTAGACTAGGATATGCGGGATTTTTACCCAGATGCCAGAGCTTCAAGTCTATAGAGCCAGTCTTATATATATATACACAATCAAGCCACGTTGAACCTATATCGATTATTACCAATAATATTACAATTAAGAGTCTTATTATTTCAACTGTTGAAGCCATCGCCAATAATGATAACTGACTAAACAATTGCTAATAATATCTACGACCAAAATCAACAGCGTTGCCCTCAACGGCCTTAGGGATTGGCCGGTTTAGGAAGATGCCTTTATTTCTATAGCTTAGGATTTGGGTCTTTGGAAATATATCGACCTAAATAACTGCGTTCCTTAGCCAACCGAATTAGTAGAACCTAATATCGTTAACTACTAAGGGGAAGTTTTTACTAAAGAAACTAGGGAAATTAAGAAGGATAGGGAGGTTGCCTTATTTATTACCGCTAAACTTTACGGCTTCTATTATCAGTACGATTATTGTAATTATATAATTAAAAAGTTAGATTAGCGTATAGAAGTTAAAACCTTTTTTAATTTAGGTATTAAAAAGATTACGTTACGTCGTTAAATATTTAAAACTATTAGAAATAATTACTAGGAGATTGATTCTATTAAATATATTAATCTATACGAATAGTATAATAATTTTAATAAATCTACCGCTTTTAACGATTATAAGGTAAAGAAGTTCGCCCAGGCTAAATTTATTAATATTTTTAAACCCCTTAGTAGAGTTAATTGTAATTAGTATAATTAGACCTTTTATTAAGAGGCGGCTATAACCCTCTATATTACTAAAGGAATTATTAAAATGAATAAATTAAATTCATAGTTCCTAGAATTCTATATAATTAAAAAGTCGAATCCTTATATTACTTAAATAAATAATTATTAATTTTAATATAATAAAGAGATTGAGAGAAACCCTAATTTCAAAGTTTTTTTTCCGTATTATAGCTAAGGATTTTCGTAAAATAATAATAATAAATATTATTTAGGAAAAAGGTTGTACCCCTTTATTTAAAAGTATTATATTTGTAATTACGTTAGGCGGTAAATTTATTAAGGACGATGCTCTTAGCGACGAATAAAACCCTAATCCGGAAGTAGAAGGATAGGGAGAAGCTATAGGTAAAAACGGTAAATTTAAGAAGAATATTAATAAAAATAAGTATATTTCCTCTTCGTCCTTACTAACGAATAAACGATTGTATCGATTCCCACATAGGCTCTATAAGTAATCGAACTATAATTTAAATAACTACGCTAAGTTATAGTTAGTTTAAAAGGCTAAATCGAAAGTCCTACTATTAAAAAGCGCGTATACATTAACTTAAAGAAGGATAAAATACTTAAAAAAGTTATCAATTATTTACGAACGTAGCGGGATAATAAAGACTAAAATAATTAATTCTATAATCGCCGGATAAGTAAAAGTAGTTTTTTTAATACTTATAGCGAAATATAGCGCTATATATTTATTAAAACCTTTATAATCTTCGATTTAAATATAATAATATATATTTTTAATAAGGTTAATTGCTTCGAAGACTTTATTTCTTTAAATATTAGTAATTATATATAGGCGGGAAATAAGTAAATTCTTATAGAGGGGTATAATATTATTATAATTATAATTTAGGACGACGACGGAAATAGAAAGCACTAATTCCTTAACGTCGCTTTAATACTAAATATAGCTTATAACTTTATTTCTTTAAAATAATTCAAAGATGAATAAATCTATTAAAATTATAAGAATAATTACCTACGCTCCCACTTTACGGACTCTCTTATTTATTATATCCTCTCTCTAAATATAAATAATTTATTTTAAAATATATCCCTCTATAAAATAGTATTAACGAATCTTCGTTTATGATACAATATATAAACTATATTAAACGGAAGCCCTAAAAGGGTAAACCCTTTCGTTAATATTTTCGATTTAACTACCCGGGACCCGAAATTTTAATTAAATTAATAGAATAAGAATATAGCGTACGATGTAAGGGATTAGATATAATATATTGCGAACTATATATTAAAGTTAAATTGAAATATTAAATACGTAGAGAAATTCGTAATTATTTAAAGGTCTTTAAATTATAATTAGCCGTTAATTCCTTTTCTTATAAGAAGGTAAAAGTAAGAGGTTAGAAGTATTTAAATTTAATAATAATCGTAAATTAATAGTTTAAATTCGTTTAAATATATTATTTAAGTAATAAAAAAGCCGAATCTATTATTACGTATTTAGAATCCCTCTATATAAGGCTATAAATTTAGTATTAAATTATATTTTAGGTAGTCGAATATAATAATAAAATGATTAATAATAAAAAAGTTACTACTTAGTTTACTGCTAAGGGAATTAGTATCGAGCCTTTAGCGCCTTATACGTAAATTTAAAACGGCAGCGCAGAGCGCTCAAGGGGTATAATTAAGACCAAGGGTACAATAATTATTATTAGTCTTATATACGCTAACTAACTATGTAGTTCACCTAGTGGGTATGTAGTGCTACTTCCGTTCTTAGTCGGTGGGAAAAACCGTACCGTAGCCAGCTAAAAACCCTCTACTACTCTATCATGACGGCGCCGTATCGGCGCCGTACCTTCGCGATTTATTTTCCACTCGGTATAACCTTACCGTTATTCCCGAAGCGTAATTTTTAATTCCGGTACGCGGTCTCTCTCCCGCGCTCCAAAATTAAAAATCAATCTGAGTTCCCTAGTAGCTCCTCCGCTTTTTTTTGCTTATTTTATTTTTACTACTAGCTTATACTCCTACAATCGACCTAAGCGCAAGGCCTAACGAAGAATCCGCTCCGTTCCTTCTACGGTTTTAAATTCGTTATAAAGTTGTTCGATATTCTACGGACAAATTAGGTCTCCCTATAATTATATATTTTCCGTCTCCCTATATTCTAACGTAATATATTTGAACGTTTCCTTAACTAGCTTATACCGGTAATAGGTCGTTATTACCCATAATACCCTTCTTTCGAATAGAAACGTCCGTAAATTTATTTTACCCGTCCTAATTTATATTAGGAATAAATTTATAATTTTCGAAAAGTAATACAATAATCATTTTTTATCTATATTAAATTAAATATAGTATTATAATATAATTCTATCGAATTGCGTACGCGCTTTTATAATATTTAGTTCCTTCCTTTTCCTTAGTACTTTAATTATTTTAATATACTATTTTACAACTTACTCCCTCTGAATTGCTTCTTTTAATTATTTTTCTTTTTTACCCAACGTAAGTTCTTTCGCTTCTCTTCATAATATCGGAATATCTTCGTTCGGAGCCTATCTTTTAGCCTATTTAACTTTTACTTAGCTATTAACCGGGGGTAATTATAATTATTTACTTCTTTTTCCGCTTTATAATTTTCCCGCTATTTAAATTAGCGTCCCCTTAATAAAGGCCGCTACTCATAAGTGGGTAAACTAATCTTTAAACGTTTTAACCCTTTTATTAAACTAGAAGTTAAGGAGTAGGTAGAAGGTTTCTATTTTGATATTAAATATGAATATTACTTTGTAAACTTTAGAAATTATTTTAAACTAATTAATTTAAATCATTATAAGAGCTTTCGTAAAATTACATAGTTTTTTAAACGGCTCCGTTAATATATAGTATATTAACGTTCCGTAGGTTATTATTATATAAATTACTTTTATATATATTTCTTTCGTTTGGACGAAATTATAAACCCTACGTGTTTATTATAATACGTATAAATATAAAAATTTATATTATTATTTTCTTTTTTACCGCCTAAAAGTATATTCGGTAAATTAATTTTCGGTCTAATTATATTTTTAGGAATTGTGCTAATTCTATAGGAATTAATTAGTATCCTCCGAAAGTTAATAGTTTCGGTTTGTAATTGCCGGGTTTTAGTAAAATAGATAAGTTCCGATTTATTAGTTTTAAATTCTATTCTATATTCTTCCGCCTAACCGTAGTAAATCCGCTAAGCTTCCTTTAGTTTATTATAATTTTCTTTTATTAATTTTAAAAAGGTTAAAATATTAGTATTATTTGCGAATCCTATTATTATCATCCCCCTTAATTCCTTTAGTACTTTATATAAAGTAGTAATAAAGATTAGAAAGAGGATAGGCGAGAAGGGGGAGCCTTGTAATATTTTTACGGGTATTTGAAATTCCCGAGATAATTTTTTATTAAAGAATAAATTTTCTTTCTAATTTATTAGGAAATTTTCAACTTAATAGAATAATTAGTATAGAAGCCCCTTTTCCTATAAGGTATAGAAGAATTATTTATAATTAATCTCATTAAATACCTCTTTAAAATTTAGGAATAGTAGCGATATTATTACCCTTAATTCCTATATTATATATACCGTTTCTATTATTACCCTAATTACGAATTCTATTAATTTCTTTTTTTTTATTCCCTATTTAACCCTCTAATAAGAATTTATATTC